AACTAATTAATGTGATAACAATAATTGGTAGGCTTTATGCCAGTTAACTAAATCAAAGGTGTATGTTTCAGATAGAAGTTGTTCAATCCAAATCATTTTTCTGAAAAGTACATGGGAATTTTCAACATGCTATCTTTGTTGATTTAAAGACTTATTCTAATTCAATCTCAAATAAGATTATGGATAAAAACACTTTCTTTTCCTGCAAAAGACAATTATAATAGACAGGTCAATGCATAGTCACTAAAATTAAAATCATCAAATTGATTTGAGCTACTAGAGGTGACCTGATTCACTTCACCAAATATGGCAGCTTGAACTTTTGCAGTCCATTGTTATGGGAAAAGGCTGAATCTTTGTCCCCAGTGTTGACCAACAATGCTTCAAACCATTTGGCTCCATGATTACTTATAACAGTGGTGGCGAACCTATGGCACATGTGCCAGAGGCGGCACTCAGAGCCCTCTATGTGGGCACGCGTGCCATGCCCCGGAGATCGCAACTGTCCCTCTTCAACCAGCTGCCCGCTAACTCGCCGAGGTCCCACATGGCCACATGCATCCCAGCACCTATGCGCTCAGCACCAATGGTGTCAGGCAGCAACTGCCCCAGCCCCTGACTCACCTTGCCCTGTGACAATGGCACCCCCAAACTGCCTCCCCTTGCCTCATGAGCCTCCTGCCCATCACCCCACCTGCCTGAGACTCCCTGGATCTCCCCCAACCCTGCCCGGCCCCCACAGGCATCTCTCCCTACGAGCAACATCGAGCTGGCCATGCCCACCCTGGCCACACCCAGCCAATCTGCCATGACCACCACAGCTACGCCCACCCAGTGGGCCACATCCACCTGGCACCGGCAATAAATAAGTGGGTTTGGGGTTACAGTTTGGGCACTCAGACTCTAAAAGTTTCGCCATCACTGACCTATAATATTAATCAAGCCATCTAGCCTAGAACATTTGCCCAAGATAGCTTCAGGCTGGATGGCTTGAGCCTTCAGCAAAATTGCAGATAATTCCATAGTATTTTCTGAAGCCAGCCATCTTGAAATACGTTCGTCAGCGCTACAGGAGAAGGCATATTAGTCCTGGCCAAAGTATTTTGAAATTCATCTTATAGATTCTTGTACATAGTTCCAGCTTGTCAAAATTCACCTGAATCCTAATGCTGTTTTCTAAGGTATTTGTTATCTCATTTATTTGTTTGCATCAAATATGCATGCTGCATCAATCAGTGATTCTAGCTGGTTTACAAAATGATTTTTTGTATCTATCACCTGCAAATGTAAAAATTTTATATTCTAACTTCTTGTTGTTGTTGTTAGTTCCGAAGTCATGTCCGACTCATCGCAACCCCATGGACAACATTTCTCAAGGTCTTCCTGTCCTCTACCATCTTCTGTAGTCCATTTAAGCTCACGCCTACTGCTTCAGTGACTCCATCCAGCCACCTCATTCTCTGTCGTCCCCTTCTTCTACTGTGCTCAATCTTTCCCAGTGTTAGGCCTTTCTCCAGTGAGTCTTTCCTTCTCATTAGATGGCCAAAGTATTTGAGCTTCAACTTCAGGATCTGGCCTTCCAAAGAGCAGTCAGGGTTGATCTCTTCTAGGACTGACCGGTTTGAACGCCTTGCAGTCAAAGGGACTCGCAGGAGTCTTCTCCAGCACCACAGTTCAAAAGCCTCAATTCTTTGTCACTCAGCCTTTCTTATGGTCCAGCTTTCACATCCATACATTGTAACTGGGAAAACCATGGTGATGGTTTGTTGGCATGGTGATGTCTCTGCTTTTTAGTATGTTGTCTAGATTTGCCATAGCTTTCCTCCCCAGGAGCAAGCATCTTTTAATTTCTTGGCTGCAGTCCCCATCTGCAGTGATCTTGGAGCCCAGAAAAATGAAATCTGTCACTACCTCCATTTCTTCTATCCAATACATTTATGAATATATTGAAAAACCACCAAACTCAAAGAGAGCCAAGGACTCCATCGTTCAATCATGAGCTACAAATATTCTCTTCTATCAATATTGAAAAGTACACTGCCTAGAATAGAGCTCTACAGTATACTATTCAACAATCTTACAAGACAACATGGAGCTATAAACTATAATCTTAAACTCACTGAGTACAATAGCTCAACTATATAGTAACCATCTAATTGTGGCATAGGCCAATACATAGGTTGCCACTTTTTCCACTAAGACAACATAGATGATTTTGTCTAATGCTTTGCTAAAGTCCAGACATGTCCACTGTATTCCCATAGTCAACCAAACTGGTCATTCTTTTAAAAAAAGGAGATTGGTTCAGAGGAAATCAGCTTGGTTTGACAGAACTTGTTAATAAACCCTTCTGAGCAACTCTTTCTTCTCTGTGATAGTTGTTCAAAAATAGAAATAATGCTCCCAGGTTAATATGGAGAAAGAATAATAGACATTATTATTGGAGTGATCAGATGCTTTCCAGTGTACATACTGTCTGAATTCCTCAATAAGTCCCCTTGGAGTAGCTGTGCTATTTCATATTAAATACAAGTTGATCTCAACTTTATAACTGTTCGATGTAAAAAAACATTCACCTAAGCTAATGTCTCCCAGCCAGCTGCCTTTAGTTATCTAAACAATGCTACAGTAACATGAATTAAGGATGGTTGGCACAAATACAGAAGTTAAACTTGGAAATGTGAAAAGAGTGATATATGATGGAAATAAAACATGAATGGTTCATTTTTTATCAGTGAGGAAGACAAGATTGTGTGGTATCCCTTGGTTTTATTAATGTATTTATGGATAAATGTATAAGGAATGCTCATGGTAGAGGCTTGTTAGTTAAGATGTTAACGTGTGTAATTTTTGTGTGAAACATTTCCATATTATTGGCTGAGAGCCAAAATCATTTGCAATGAATATTAAATTGTGTGTTGCAGCGTGGAGTATGGATTTGAAAAGTAATATATTTAAAACCAAGATAGTGTGTTTGATAGGAGCAAGTCTGTTAGTGCTTACATATTATGCATAATTTTAAAAAATGAAACAGAACAATAAATTTGTAAACCTTGGTAGCATGTTTACTAAAGCTATAAAATTAATATGTTCAAATACTGAAAGAAGGGTAGTGGATAGCATATGTGTGCTGTAAGTAATGAATAACTGTTAACAGAAGCAAAAATGGAAATGAATAAATGCATGCTTGGCATAGATCTCCATAGGGAGATAAGTAGACAAATGATAAACATATGCACAATGATGTCCTCGTGCAAATGCCACAACTGTCATATTTGCCTTAGACATAGTATTTGCATGAGGCTGCCATCACACTCATGTCATGTCATGGTTTGCTATAGATGTCACTGCAAGTTTCTGTCAAGTTTGTTATATGGACTTGATGTGGATACTTCAAGAGAAACACACAAGTCAGTTGAATAATGTAGGAATGGGAACAGAGTTTCAAGAACAAAAAGTAATGAAATAATGTGGACTATCAATGTGAATGATCAGTATAGAGAAGTGTATGGAGAGGTTGGGTTATTGAATGAGAGTCCAATACAAAGAAACAGTTGAAAGGAATAGAAAGACTAAAAAAGTTACAGCTTAACTTAATTGGTGAGATGACCAGAGAGGTTAGCAGTTTAAAGAACAAAGTTAATGTATGAATCAAAATATGGATATGGAACAAGCAAGTTTTAGTCACCATATTATAAAAAAAGATGTCAAGACTTTGGAAAGAGTGCAGACAAGAGCAACAATGATGACCAGGAGCCTGGAGACTAAAAAATATAAAGAATGGTTGCAGGAATTGGGTATGGCTAGTGTAGAGAAAAGATAATAGTGTTCCAATATTTGAGGGGCTGCCACAAAGAAGAGGGGAGTGGAACTATTGTCCAAAGCACCAGAAGGCAAAACAAGAAACAATGGATGGAGACTAATCAAGGAAAGAAGCAACCTAGAACTAAGGAGAAATTGTGGATTATTCTGTTACATGTTCCCTATTAACTAAGACATATGTGAGCACTTCATTGCTGGAAGCTTTTAAAAAGAGATTTCTCCAAAATGATATAGGGCAGTGATAGTGAACCTTTTAGACACCGAGTGCCCAAAAACTGCCCCCTGCCCCCGCTCCGCCTCCTGCCCTGCCTGCTCCGCCCCCACCCACCTCCTGCCCCGCCCACCCACAGGGCCACATACTGCCTCCATGGCCCACCGCAGCAGATCGCCCAGGTAGCCCTGCAGCGCCATGGTAGCCACGCCCTCCGTCCACATCCTGCAGCATCATCTGCATGCTATGGGGCACAAGGGCGGAGTCTTGGGCCTGCTGCCGGCTATGTCCTTGGCTGCGCTGCTTTGTGTGGGCTGTGCCCAGGAGCGAATCTCCTCCAGGGGGCTGCTGGTGAGGATGGGGCTGCGGGAGAAGGCGGGGCTGGGGTGACAGCGTGTGTGCCCACAGAGAGAGCTCAAAGTGCCACCTCTGGCACACGTGCCATAGGTTCGCCACCACTGATATAGGGTCTCCTTCTTGAGCAGAGGATTGGGCTAGAAGATTTCCAAGATCCCTTCCAACTCTATTATCTGCAAGAATGAAGAGATACAGAGTGAAAGATGTACAGTCAATTAGATTCAAATTTCTTACCTCTTGCTTCTGATTTCTTTTGTTTATTATTTCTATTCTTTTTCTTCCCCAAAAGTAATAGGATGATTTATGTCCAATATTTGGAGGAATATATATTTTCAAAGGCAAAATTGTACCAAGCAATATGCCATTTGACTTTTTATTGTTAAAACTAGATAGTGCAGTAATAATTTTGGAAAGCTTTTCATTACATGTCATGGAATTTTTTAGGTAGCAGTTCGAAAATTATAGAGCTAAAGCACACTTGATTTGTGGTTTAGATAATATGGTAATGCTTAAATGATAAGCTATTTTTGCAAAGTAATTTAAATCTATCTAGTTGACACAGCAGATGGGGAAAAGTTTCTTGTGGGAGGTTAGAAGCTGTATCCTGGTACTTTGTAGAGAGTTGTAATTAGTATCTGAATTCACCTCTCTCCTTAGCTTTGGCCAACAAACATTTTAGTCTTATAGGGCTTTGTTATTTTTTTTTCTTAAGCAAAAACTATTTTTCATTTAAAACAGTTTTAAGCAGAGGGAAGTGATCAAAAATTTTATAACTCAAAACCAAAAGAGTTTATCATCATAAACTCTGTATGATAACTAATTTAAAGTGCTTTATGCATATATTACTTGAAATAAATGTTTGAACCTGTTTTTCCAGGATGGAGTTGAATGATCTTCTCAAATTCCTAGGTAAGATAAGAATAAATGAAAACAAACAATATATATTGTATATGCATTATCTAATATGTCTCCCAGGAATATGAATTTTTACTTTTTTAAATTATTTTAATTCTGCTTTGAATGTGGAATATGGAACTATGCTTCATATGGTTTTAGACAATTGTTACTTATTGCTCCTGGCTCTTGTTGTTTCCTCCTGGAAAATGCTTTAAACCTGTTTCTCCAGCACAACTCCTAGGCTTTATGTTGTTTAAAAATGATTGATGTATGGACTTCCACTGTCTTCTCTCTTTTTTAGTACCTAGTAATTATTTAATTATCTACAATATTGGTAGGTTGTCTTATGGAGGACTGTCAAGGAATATACAAAGCAATTAAACAATTATCAAAGCCTAAGTGTGTAAATGAGCCCAACTAAAAATATGCTCTGGGTTAGTTTTCAGAAAGCAGGGATCGCATGTATTAATTGTAATTTCCAGAGGAATACATTTTATAATTAATACAACAGCCCAAGAATCATTGCAAGTGGCAGTGTTTTTAGATCGGCACTTCTTAACATTTTAAAGACAAATCAGGTATCATAAAGCACCCAGCTCCATAGCTAAAATCACTATCTTGAGTAGAACCGAGAAAACAATGTGGGGTCTATGTAGAGCTTTTGGGAAAGGGTGATCCTCCTCTTATGCATCAGTTAGTAAATGATCTATATGTTACATAAGCTAAATCTTTCCTGTGTTCTTAGTTTAGGTATGAAGTAAGCAGGATATAGATAACTGTGGTCAAGATTGGTTCAGAACAGTAAATCTCTATTACAACTGTGTTCATGAAAAACTTTGAACATGTATATCTATATTAATGAAACATTAAAGGATAAAAAGTATGTAATAATTTAAATGTATGGTTTAAAAAGTCACACAGTAGTTACAGAAATCGAAATTAAAAAGTAAAGCAGTATTTGCAGGTGTTCCAATGTTTTGTCCTGTTTTAGCAATATTTAATTACATCAAATTTTTGCTTTAACACAATGAAACTTTTTTTGTAGTTTTCATTTGATGAATGTTCCTTTTCTTCATTTTGCGCTCACTAAGATTAGCACTACAAGTACACATGTGCTAGCCTCAATTGTGCATATACTACCCTCACATTAAATGAATTTTAGATTACATTAAATGTGACCTGTTATCAATTTATAATTTGCACCATCTAATATTGCATTATTTAACCTTGCACTAATTGCAACCTACTTGTATATCTTTTATTCTTGCTACTATTGAAGGAAAAATCTTCACCAGGGTCCAGTCCAAGCTGGCAATAATCAAAATGGAGACTGCTTTAGAAAGAAAGTTGTAGTTTATTGAAGAGGAGAGCCAGACAGAAAGGTGGCTATGGAAAAAAACTGACCACATGGAGCAGAGTGGTGGGCTTTTATACCTTCTGGGGCTCTTGAAGTTGTTTCCTGTTCCTGTTTGAGGCTTTATATTTCCTGTGTCATGTATTTTGACCTGAGTCTGAGTGTGCCCTTTTGGTATTGGTGGGTTAATCCTATTATGTCTCCTGTCCTTAGAATTTGGGTGGGGGTATGTAGATTCAAACTATCGCACCATTGCATTCATTTCACATGCTAGTAAAGTTATGCTTAAAATCCTACAAGCTAGACTCCAGCAGTATGTGGATCGAGAACTACCAGAAGTACAGGCAGGATTTCGAAGAGGCAGAGGAACTAGAGATCAAATTGCCAACATACGCTGGATCATGGAGAAAGCTAGGGAGTTCCAGAAAAACATCTACTTCTGCTTCATTGACTATGCTAAAGCCTTTGATTGTGTGGATCACAACAAATTGTGGCAAGTTCTTAAAGAGATGGGAGTACCAGACCATCTTATTTGTCTCTTGAGAAACCTATATGCGGGTCAAGAAGCAACAGTGAGAACTGGACACGGAATCACTGATTGGTTCAAAATTGGAAAAGGAGTCCGGCAAGGCTGTATACTGTTGCCCTGCCTATTTAACTTATATGCAGAGCACATCATGAGAAAGGCAGGGCTAGATGAATCAAAAGTTGGAATTAAGATTGCTTAATTAAGGTTGATATTGGGAGAAATATCAACAACCTAAGATATGCAGATGATACCACTCTAATGGCAGAAAGTGAAGAGGAACTAAAGAGCCTCTTGATGCGGGTGAAGAAGGAGAGTGCAAAAGTTGGCTTGAAACTCAACATTAAGAAAACCAAAATCATGGCATCTGGCCCTCTCAATTCCTGGCAAATAGATGGGGAAGAAATGGAGGTAGTGACAGATTTTATTTTTCTGGGCTCCAAGATCACCTCAGATGGGGACTGCAGCCAAGAAATTAAAAGACGCTTGCTCCTGGGGAGGAAAGCTATGGCAAATCTAGACAGCATACTAAAAAGCAGAGACATCACCCTGCCAACAAAAGTGCGTATAATCCAGGCCATGGTTTTCCCAGTTGCAATGTATGGCTGTGAAAGTTGGACCATAAGAAAGGCTGAGCGCCAAAGAATTGAGGCCTTTGAACTAAGGTGCTGGAGAAGACTCCTGCGAGTCCCTTGGACTGCAAGGCATTCAAACTGGTCAGTCCTAGAAGAGATCAACCCCGATTGCTCTTTAGAAGGCCAGATCCTGAAGTTGAAACTCAAATACTTTGGCCACCTAATGAGAAGGAAGGACTCACTGGGGAAGGGCCTAATGCTGGGAAAGATTGAGGGCAATAGAAGAAGGGGACGACAGAGAATGAGATGGCTGGATGGAGTCACTGAAGCAGTAGGTGTGAACTTAAATGGACTCCAGAAGATGGTAGAGGACAGGAAAACCTGGAGAAACGTTGTCCATGGGGTCGTGATGGGTCGGACACGACTTCACAGTTAACAACAACAGTGTAGATTTTAGGTGTCTTTGTCTTCCTAATTTCTATCTTCCTGGCTCCAACCTTCCTGAATGGATTAATGAATTTGCATTTCTAAAAGCTGGCTTCTGCCTAGGGACTGGGGCTGATTTCTGGGGGCTGGTTTCTGTCTTTTTTAAAGATCTTCTCCATTATTCCTTTGGAGAAATATATTCTGCCTTTTTAATACTTCCCAAAGTATTTCTTTCTCTGGATTCTTTCCACACTACTATCTCAAAATCCAAGGATAAGGTGAATGAATTTTCTTTAACTATGAACTAATATTTCCAGTATAAATCAAATCTCAATTCTTGAGCCAGACTGTCTTCTGACTATTGTTTAATCTTATTAACTTTTCATCCAGCCCATTATTCAACCCACTGTTTAATTTTCAAAGATAACAGATGCTTCCTTGGAGTAAGCTAATAAGAAATAATATCCCAATATGGCAGTGGAGCATTAAACAAATATCTGTAGTCACTATGACCATTGGAGTGGTGGAGAGGAGGACAGACGTTTGTTTTAGAGGAGACAGGTAAATAAGATTACCAATCTAAGCAGCGAACTGCCTTGGTTATGAAATAGCCCAGGTCTTCTTTTGAATTTACATTTATTTTCTCCATAACACAGTAAGACAACTTGCAAATTATGACAATTAAAATGCAGAAATTGAAAGAGATAAAAACATAAACATACACAAAAAAAATCTTAAGCCCTGTGTATACTTGCTGTATGGAAACCGTCTACAGCACAAAAAAGGAAACACTTGTGTCTTTTTATGAAAAATGAAATGTTTAACTATGGATTTAAACAGATATTTAAGCTAATTATTTCATTTATTGTTGAAAACGTAATACATAAATCTGCTGTTTTGTACAACAACCCTGGAAAACTTGCCTACTTATGTAATAATATAAGGCAAATGTGGGAGAAAACATGGTAACACCTGACAAAGCACAAAGCAAAGCAATCAGAAAAAAAACTGGAGACTGTAATGACCATATATATGAGTGTTAGAAATTTGTTTGCATATATTACTTTGTAAATACCAGACAAGAACAGAGAAGAAATGGGATGGTAATCTTTAAGCAGAACACAGCACCTCACCTCTGTGATTTGGGATACTGTAATTGAGGAATTTGCTTTATTTTCCTTTCCTCACTAATATGTTAGATAGCAGTTCTGGGGATCTACAACTGTGGAGTTCCAAGCTGCATTCTTTGAAGTATCACATTGGTTTGAAAGGAAACTGAGGATCCCTCTATTAACTGGAATGGGAATTCTTCTTTAATCTGTGCACTATCCTAATGTGTGGACCAATCTTCAACAATGGCCGAGTTGGATGGGAAATTCAGAAACAAAAGTCATCACCTTGGGAAGGGCCTTAAGTTAGGAAAGGCTCAAGGTCAAAAGTTTGCCAAAGTTATCACATTATTTTTCAACCTATTATAAAACTGTTGAATAGTATAATATACTGAAACAAGTGAGAGTTGCCTAATGTTTCTTTTTCTTCCAAAGGAGAATTAAGGAAGCTTTTATTCTTTTTGTCTATTGCTTGGTTCACAGTGGGTGAGTTTTTATTCATTTAAAATCTTTTTTACCTAAGAAATTTTAGAGTGTGTTATCACTTAATTATGTTGAATAATAGATAAGGAACAAAAAAAAATTGACCATAGTTGGATATTTAGTAAGAGACCTTTTTTAGTGGAGCAGCTGTAAGAAAATGTATACTGTAAGCATCTTTTCAACTCATTTTCCAGCAATCTAGTGTGACTAGTTATTTTATTTTACTTATTTAAATTCTGTCTTTTCTCAGTAGGTTGTAGTCAATAAGATGTGCATAGTAATTACATTAATAAAAATATTAGAAAAATCATGAAAATATTAGCCACAATATGTTTTTGAGATAACTAGTTGTTTGGTCCAAAAGGAAGACATATGAAGATAGGAATCCAGTACAAATAACCCAAAGATGGCATGTAGGATAATTGATAGAGCTCTCATTCAGCAGGACAGTATGGGTTTAGTCCTCCTGTGAATATTTCTCAATTTCATTAAGCAAGTCGTAACTCCTGGTTAGCTCATGGGACAAGTTATTGTCCATTCTTCAGATTTAAGCTGCTTTAGATATTCCAGTCTTGCTTTTCTTTTAGCGATTAATTGACCCATACTCTCCAAAGATTAGACATGAGTGCCTTCTAGTGGCTGCTAGTTATTTCCAACTTATTTCTTTTGATTTTTTCCACAGGATCCTGTGAACATAATTTCTCTATTCAGACAAACACAAAGAAGACCAATACCCCTGCCACTCGCTGCATTTTACCCCCAAAAGGTAAATGCCAACCCTATCATTTAGGTCTTATTTTTCTTGATGAAGTTTCTCCCACTGCTCTCCTAACATTGGAGCTGAGACAGCTATGCATGTAAGCCCTTGAGTCAATGAAAATATTTGTGTAACAAAGAGAAATACTTTTTTCTCTGCCTTCATTTTAATTTGAATTGATCTAAATCATACTTCCCAAATTAATTAAGAAATGAAAAGGCAAATCTTTACTATTTAAATGTGGGAGTCTGTACATTTCTGAAAAATTGTAGGTGGTGCATTTATTCAAATAAACAATATACATAAATGTTTATATTTAGAGACATTTCTCACTTATTGTATACATTAGGACAAATGAGAACAAAATGCATAAGAATTATGAAACATATAGAAGTGAAATGGGACACATCTGAGCTTGCAAAAAACATCTACTGTATGAAGAGATTAAAATAGACAGATTTAATTATTTATAAGTTGAATCCCAGAACATCTCACTGACTTCATGCAAAACCTACATACAGTTAAAGACATCATATTATGGACCGGCATGGAAAAACAGACTGGTTCCAGATTGGCAAAGGAGACAAGGCTGTAGGCTCTCTCCTTATTTATTCAGCTATATGCCAAATCTATCTATATCTTTCTATGGAAGCTGAACTGCAAGAAGTTTAGTGTAGTTTTATAATTAGAGAAGAAACACTAAAAAGTTATGATGTACTTATGATATTTCAATGAATCTGCAAGCTCTAATGATAAAAATCAAGGAACACAGTGAACAAATGGGGCTTCTTCAAATAGAAAGAAACCAAACTAATGACAACAGGTACATAAACCAGCCTTAGAACAGATTATGAAAATACTATGTGATAGATAGCTTCAGCCTTTAGGATCAAACAGAAAACCAGGCAAGAAATTTATAATGGATTACTCCTTGATAAAGTAGCAGTTAAGCCCTTGGAAAGATGTTCAGATGCTCTGATTTGTCTATATTTACAAAGATCAGAATTATGCAAGCAATATTATCTGCTGTGGCACTCTATGGAAGTAAAAGGTAGACTTTTAAGAAGCAGAATAGAAAGTACTGATGTTTTTAAAATTTGCTGTTGGAGGAGGCTTCTGTGAATATATAGAGGACAACAAACAAAGGTATCGTTGAACAAATCAACCCAGAGTTCTGATTCAAGACACAAACAACCAAGTTCAAATTATCCTACTTCAGCCACATAATGCAAAGACTTGGCTCTCTAATAGGGCTTTAGAAGGAAAGAAAAGTAAGGTGAATGTACTTAATTACAGTAAGTCATGGGTGCACTGTTCGAAGGCCAGAAAGTTTAGGCTAAGGACAGATTGTCATGGAACAGATCAGTTTGTGTGATTGCTAAAAGTCAATGAATTAATGGCATATAATCAGTCAAGAGTGAGAAAGTGAGCAATATAAAAATAAGTCAAGGCAAGCATTCATAATTTTAAAAAATTATGTCACTTATCAATTTTTCATATCCATAATTTTTTTCTGTTGTCTTATAGTTGTTTCCAGTTGCGACTATCCTTTGTGCAAATTACAACCAGGTGAATATCTTTGCTTATCAGTACCTTCATAAGCCCGGTTCCATGTATGCTTCCCATTTCCTCCTTAATTACGATTTCAGGTGCAGGTTGTCATCTACAAAGCCTTGAAACTTCTCTCCAATTCACTCTGTCCAGCCCTATAAGATCTGACAAGGGGTAATGATTAAGGAAGGCCACCTTGGGGGATCCAGGAAGGGTGCTGTCATGGCACCTGCCATCTGGAACATTTCACCATGCAAGATCAGAATGGCCCTGACTTTCAGAAAGTCTTTAAGATCTATTTGCCCATGCATAGGGGTCAGGAAGTAAATGAAATCCATGGGGTTTGTTGTTGCTTTGAGATTTTTACTCTTCATTGCTTCATTTGCTTGTTTTGGTTATGTTTTGTGTTTTCTGAAGTTATTTATATTGCTGTTTTTAAAACTTAAAACTTTGTTCACTGCCCAGAGTTGCTTTGGCAAAATGAACAGCCATAAAATTGAATGAAATAATAAATAAAATTCTTTGGATAACAGACACTACTGAACTCCACCCAACTTTCCAATATGAAAGTTATTCCAGGTCATTATGGAAACTCAACATGGCAGTTCCCTGATTCTAATAGTATAAATACAAGTGCTCCTTGATAAATGAACTGGGAGAAACACACTAATAATTGAACATAGTTTATCAGAAGGATAGGTCAAAGATTCTCACTGCTTAAGTGAAAATCTGTGAACTGGTTGTTTCACCTGCCAGCCACAAAGGAAATATTTGGTCCAAAATAGAAAAAGACCAGTGGCTATATGCAGATCATTTTGGAACACACTGGGTTAATATGCAATTAATTTGCAGGAAGCACAAACTTGAGTCTTGTGGTTATATAATATAACAAAGATTAACATCTCTGATCATTCCACACCTTATTCATGTACTGTGTCTTCTAATAAACAAATGTGAAACAGTTCTCAGAAGTCATCCTCTGCTTCTATTTTTAAAATTCTGCAAAGCAGTGGCTGATACTGTGATGCTAGATTCTGAAGTTTTATTTGAAAATTAAAAAAAATCACTATAATCTCGAATATCAATAAGGCAATGGGTCCACATAAACAAGACCATCTCTTCTTTACTTATACAATCACAAAACAGTATTCTTCCATAGCAATAACTTTTCCACTTACCAAACCTTTATAAAGCAGCATGAAGTATTTTCATTTCCACCAGCACTGATATGCAGAAAACATACAAAGAATACCTTGCATCTGGCTAATTGGAGAATTCAATATTGTCCCACCCCATCCCCTAAAGTATGCCTGATCCTAGCATAGGTTGCAAAATGTACATGATGGCCTACCAATAAACTTTCCCAGTACCCCTTATCTTCTGGAGCTGGAGAGACAAAAGGATCATTGTAATCAGTATATACAGTCTCAGGAAACAAGATATCAGAAATCATTATTGGAAGAGGGAGAAAGAATGTCTTCTTTAAACTCAGGAACTGGGAAGTTGATGAGGTAGAAGTGCCACCAATGGGAAAATGGATTGCCTTTAAGCATTATGAAAAAAAATCAAAATTTTCCATTTTTGCCCAACTATATCAGATGCACTAGCTGCACCCTTTCTTAGATCAGACTCATGCCCTGGTCACATCACTTGACTATGTGATGTGGACAGTGGTGCATAGCTTGAAGTTCCCCCTGAAGCTCATCTGGAAGCTTAAACTGATCCAAAATCAATGATCCTCTGATTCACAAGCTGCTCTGGTTGGCTTGGTTACTTGCAGGACCACCTGTCTCCCATAGCATCATAAAGCAAATATGGAAGGATAGAGCTAGTATGGTCATTTCACAGTGCAAATTTCATTATTTTGGTTTTATTTGGCTATCAGTCTAATGTTGACCCTGATGTGTTGCAAAGTCCTTGTGTATAAGAACTCATAATCAGAGGCTAATGCAAACTGCTAATATCATGTAAATAAAATAGGGGGAAAATTAGCAAAATAATCTCCCCCCCCAAATTAATATTTCCATCTTATATCTGTTATGAAAAGCTAAATAATAAAGTGCCATATTGTATGAAACATATATGGTGGACAACTGTAATAACATTTTTTTCAAACTATAATTAAAGGGAAAGTCAATAGTTAAGTCTTGTTTATGCCAGACAGACATAAATACAATAATAATTTATTATACAGAAAAACCAGAACTCATGGAATGGTTCCAATAAAGTTTGTAATCTCTTTCCTTTCTTTTGAGTTAGCACCAGTGAATGAAGCTGTTTTCTTTCTTTGTTTCCTTCACAGATTGGCAGGATGATATGAACTATTACTATGAGGAAAATTCTGGACTCCACATTTCTTGGTCACCGCTTTCTCACACATCCAATCTATTTGTATATACAGTATTTTTAAAATGGTAAGATGGTCAAAAACTGGGAAAGAATTTATAAAATAGAAGAGGATACTTTTAGCTTATTGAACAAAATACAGCTCAAGAGTTAAATCTGGATAAAACTGGTTCCTGATTAATGGTATAGATAGTGAGTTGCTTTGGTGTACTTATGTCTTTATCATTATAAGTTGAACTCTTATCTCTTTGTCACTTTATTTAAAATGTACTTAAGATCAGGGGTCCCCAACCCCCAGGCCACGACCTACTACCAGGCCTTGAGCCCTTCGGAACCAGGTTGTGGAAGTGGCAGCTGAGTATACCCATATATGTGCATCCCCACTTGTGTGAGCGGCAGTTACCCATGCACTCACACAAATGGAACTGCGTGCACACACACTTGTCCACCTCTCAAGCGGAACCATACCCTCTTCCCCACCACCCAGTCTGTCCACAAAGCCAGAAAGATTAGGAAACTCTGCTTTAGATTGTACTGTACTCCTATTCATGTAGTTTAGGAGGGAGATGAGGTGGTGCTGAGCTATGGGTAACAGGTGGTCAAAAAAATTGATTATGACATTTTATTTGTTGTGTAGTTTCTTTTCCCATTCTATTATTAGATGCGATTCACTCAGTTTCCAAGCGCCCTATAGGCATCCAAACACTTTTCTCTCAGATGGAGAAATGACGGAGACTGGAAGCTTCATCTGCTTGTAAATGGGGTGCTTGGAGATAGAGCGAATCATTCAGTTTCTAGGTGCCCCATTTGCAAGCAGACAAATCTTCCAGTCTCCCTCTGGGTGAAAAGTGTTTGGGTGCCTATGGGGCACTTGGGGCAGCTCCACCCCCTCCCCCACCTGCCTCACCTCATGCCGGCAGCATGGTGTGGCAGGACATGTGACCAGCCATGAGCAGCCGCGAGCAGTCAAAGAAGTGGGCTGGCAGCCACGCGGGCTCCTGCTAGTTGGGGCTGTTGATGGCACCACTGTGAGGTGAGGCAAAGGGGGGGGGGAATAAAACATAAAAACAAGACTTACTGCCTCTTTTGGGTCTTATTTTTGGGGAAACACGCTATGAGGCAAAAAAACAGGAATAAAATTTGGCTAAAATTGAGGGACAATACAAATGGACTTGTGAATTTTTAATTTGAGCACTAGTGTATCCTTGGAGACCCTGAGAGACAAGGGAAAGTGTCCCAGCCTAGACAACCAACATGCAAATGATATCTCAGCCACAGAAGCAGAGGCAAATGTTTCAAAAGGGCCCTCCCTAGTTTTCTAGGGAGTAAAAAGAAAGACAGGATAAAATACTTTCAAACTTGCAAACATCACTTTGGATAGTGAGATGGGTAGCACATAAATGTAATGAATAAAAAACGTAACCTTAAAATAAAGATAAAACTAGTACAGCATTCATGTTGTACTTCTTATCTGGACTACATCAAAGAGCTCTAACATAGCCCCAAATGTATACAACCTGTCTAATTCATATAAATGTTCAATATGCCAGGATTGGCAAGTCACTCCCTGAAAATGGCATAGGCAGATAGTTCTAAATATGCAGAGAGAGAGAATGAAGTTCACAATTTAAGATTCTGATTTTTGCGGATGAAAAACCTGTAAGAACTTAATATAGAAATGTGCTACATTTATGAACTTGGTTCTTCCTCAGATTAAGGATTATTTCATTATCTTTTCACTGCCTAATTGTTAAGCAATGTGCCTTCTTTCTTTTATTTACTCTTGGTAATGATAAATTATGGATCTGAAGTCAAGAAGAAAAAGAAAACAAGAAGCACTCCTTCTTCCTCCCCCTTTCAGAATTTGCTCAGTAAGAGAAATAGTAGTAGAGAAAGAAACTCATCCCCTGATTTATAGTCTTCTAGAATCACTGAATTAATGCAGATAAAAGCATGAATGGGAGAAAGGAAATGCTACTTTTTAGAGATGAAGCAGAGATTTGATTGTCTAGATCAAAAATGGCAGAATTAAAACCTTATTGATTGGCTCACATCTTCTTACATTAGAATCCTTTGGATACTTGAAGTAAAGTATTATCTCTCCATATGATCTTCTGTTCTCCAAATTATGCACTTTTCCTTTCAGACCCTCCTTGAAGAACTGGTATAGGAAATCTCAAACTATTTCTGATCATTTAAATCTAATCTTGATAGATGCACAATACATTTTTAAGTTCATTTGTTGTGTGTTGCTTCTTGAGGTAATTGGCCATTATAAAAGACAAGCTGGAGTAGATGTGCTACAAGATCTGGACAATCATAGTTGCATGACTTTATTATTTATTTATTTGTTTGTTTACCAAATTTGTATGTTGCCCAACTCTCAATGACTCTATGGGGTTTAGAGCAACTGCCCAAAATGAAATTACAACAAAGCCAAATTTTAAAAAAGGAAAAACGTAAAAAATGGTAAAAATGACAGACTAGTCCAAGGGTAGGCAATCTTGGCTCTTTTATGACTCGTGGACTTCAATTCCCAGAATTCTTGAGGCAGTCATGCTGGCTCAGGAATTCTGGGAGTTGAAGTCCATGAGTCATAAAAGAGCCAAGGTTGCCTACCCCTGGACTAGATGGAAACAAAGCAAATGGTTTCTCTCTCCCTTGTCAAAGTCCCTGGGGAAGATCTGATTCGGATCATGCAGAATCATATTGAACCTTAAAATAATTAGCCAGACTTCAGACTTGCCCAGTTTAGCTGCCACATTCAGTTGTTTATTCATTTTTTTGCCACAGGTGAAGGTTTTTGATGGAATTTTTTTATCAGAGAGGGTCATAGTAGTTTGTCCTTTGGGCTTATTATGTTAAATTAATTTTCCTGTGCTTCTTGTTAAGGCAGACAAATCTACCTAATTTCACTTTAAAGCCCTGCAGACAACTCTTTCCATTACTGCTTCTCCTATATGATGAAATGACAAGATTAGGCACGAAGGACACCAATGTCATTTCAAGTAATTTGTAGTGGAATGTAGCCTGGATTCCCAAAAGGGTGGGGCTGCATTCCAGAGGGCAAAGATAGTTTAGATAATTTGGTTGGGAAAAATAAAGTTAAGACAGCTTCTCCCCAGCAATTCTCAGAGTATATACTAAGGCACCTATGGGAGCGCTTATTCTGGAGAAGGTTGGTGGAGTAATAGAGAAGGTTCCACCTCCATACCCCTCATGCTCTTGGTTCTTAGTTTTCATCTAATTCTTGTTGATTTTAATCTGTTTATATTTATTGTACTGTATTGTAAGCTGCCCAGATAGTGAGATGGGTAACATACAAATTTAATAAATAAATGAAGCAGCTAGCAATTCTAGATAATAAAAAAAACCTAAAATCATAAAGTAAATTCAATAAACAAATGAAATAAACTTCAAGGACTCCAGATGTTTGAAGTCCAAAATACTACAAGTTGAAACTTCAATATCTGGGTAACTTGCCCATCAAAATGGAATTTAGGGAAAGAGAAAAGTTGCTAAAACTATCTACATGGAGAAGATGTAACATGTGCAGTAATGACCTGGGTGCATCTGGTATTATAACCAAAAACATGATTAAAACATGTTTTCTGTTTTCCCTTCACTTACAGGGGTCCCAAATGTTGTAACAAGTTGGAAAAGGTTTCATCTCCTGTCAACAGAACCCGGGACCTCATGCATAAAAATTTAAATGTGACTATATGGGTAATAGCCAATTATTCCAATGAAAGCTGTGTGACAACAAAGAACATTACAATTTTGCCTAGAAAAATAGGTTAGTTACCTTTACTCACTGTTTATTTAATATGTAAGATTTTTAAACCTTTAATTACCACTGAAATAGTCATTTCCCAGTTATATATTTAACAAGGCACTGAAATGCCATTTAGTGGAAAGATCACGATCACATCATAATATGATAAGCCAGTGAAGGGTAAAAGTTAAAGATCTGAACTAGAATTGCAAAGGCCCAAATTCATGTCTGCCATCAGCTATGGAAACTGAGTTGGTGTCTTAATCTCCAGAGCACTTGCTCACTGTGAGCGAAACCTAGAGGTGGAAATGCCCAGTGTGCCACCTTTTAGTCTATTTGGAAAAGGAGAATAAAAATATATCGAATAGTAGCACTATGTTTTTTAAAAAGTGTTGGGCGAACAATCACTTTCTAATTACCATCACTTGAAAGAAATAGTTAATGTTAATGAATGGATGTTTCTTTACCTCTTATATGCACTAAATGTTCTAATGCCAATTTGAAATTATATGCTATAAAGCTTTATGATGAACTTACTTCCATCACTGGGAAGCCCTCCTGTTTCCTCCATCATCTTCATAATTAAAAAGAAAGCCTCCTTTGATCTTCTTAAAAACACTGGAAGTTTTTAAGAAGAGACTGGACAGCCACTTGTCCGAAATGGTGTAGGGTTTCCTGCCCGAGCAGGGGGTTGGACTAGATGACCTCCAAGGTCCCTTCCAACTTTACTACTACTACTACTACTACTATTATTATTATTATTATCCTGGTGACTTCATGGGTACATCTATATAGTTTTCTTCAGAACAGTAAGGAAGTGGGTTTCTGATGACTTCTTCCAGAATGGCGGGTGTTTTGTTTTTTTTTTTAACTTCTCAGTCTAGCCTACACTTTCTGGTGATTTCCCATCAAAGTCACTAAGTGTTTTCAACCCTCTTTAATTTTTGAGATCTAAGTGAGTTGGGTATTCCCACTTGCTGTAGTAATACTTTACCACCCACCTTTAAAAATCTTTCCTGTGACTAGAGAAGGTGTTTTGGAGCTTGTACAAATCAATGACTTTTGCGTATTTTTATATTCTAGAAAAATGCCCTTCACCCTTCAACGTAAACACACAACAATTATTCAATAAGCTAATAATAACATGGGAATCGCCACAAAATATAGTACAGTATGAATTGCAATACAAGGAAGCAATGCAAAGAACTTCATCCTGGATACCGGTGTGTATTTTTAGTAGATATGAGACAGAAGAAAATGTTCTCACTGTCAGAAAAATCTAGATATCCTCCATGTGTTTTTTTAAACTGGCGTTTCACTGAAAGCCAATTCATTAAAGTTTAATTCTACAGTTCTTTGCTTCTTTCTCTAGCTTGTTCAAAGAGTTTATAAACCTCACAGGAGGCTGTTTGACATCTGATCCTTAGTATCCTTTCACTTTTTGAGCCGACCAGCAGCTTCTTTTCTGACATTCAGACACAGGCTTCTACAAGAGATATACTTGGCATGAAGATGTTGTCCCCAAATTAAGTAAGTCTTACAGAACAATCCAGAAGGCAGATGAAGGAGATATACTGTACGTATGTTAATGAATTAAGAAATTGAACCTATCAGGGCAAAATGGGAGAGTAGCATCTGGAGAAGAAAGAAGTACACTAGATCCAGAGTTTGTTTGTTTATCATATTTATATGACTGTCCAACTCCAGATGCCTTTGGGAAGAAAATAAAAACCAAGTATAAAAACCATCAGAAAAAAAAATAAGAGTTAATCTTGAAGGGATACCCAAGAACTATTTTCTCTCATTCTGAATCAACTTAGATCTGCCATTTTGCTGCTAACAACAGCATCAATACCTTGACAACAAAACAATATGCTGAATGAGATTTCTGCATTCACAGCAAAGGGGATGCTTGTAAGAATGTATCTGATTTTCTGTTCTAAGGTCTTGGGATGCTGACTAAGGACTTTCGCCTAAGTGGACACCTCTATAAACAATGATAAGCCCATATAATAGAGTAGCTTATTAGTAAAGTGTATCAGATTATGCTGTAAGGACACAGTTCTATAATTGTTTACCTAAGAATAAATCTATTGAACTTAATGGGATCATTTGGAGGACTTTAATTTGTTAATTTTTTCCTCTGTTTTTGTATTACTTCCTACACTCAGAACACCCCGAAACAATGTTTGTAATTTAAAAATGCACCTAGTTAGGATACAAAAGTCAATAATGTGAAGTAATAATCATAAAACCATTCTGTATTAAAATGTTTAAAAGAAATAGGATAAAGGCAGAACAATGCATATAGTATCCCTACAGAAAAGGCCTATATGAAGAAGCCAACGGCAAATCGTTTCCAAGAAAATGATGTGTTTGTGATGAAGGTGCTTTATCTCAAATTCTTTGCAGGTCTCCGTGGAGATGAAAGCCTTTAATGTTACCATCCCTGATGTAAACCCAACAGCATCCTACATGGTTCGCATCAGATGCATCCCCAAGAATAACCGCTGTACTGTTTGTCTTTGGACAGAAGAAACTAGTGTCCCATATAGTGAGTGTCTTGTTGGGTAATTGATAAGACAACATTATTGATGAATTTCAAAGTTTCCCTTATGAAAGACTGTGTATATAGTTCTGAAATGAGACTTGACATACTATTGTCCTTTCACAGAGCTTACCAAAAAGCTTACAATTTTGGAAAATACAACTAAAGAGATCTCACAAGGAAAAAGAAGTCTCTTTCTTACATGGGAGGTATATATTCATTTTCATAATTATTTATTGCCTTTTTCTTGTCCTTAAGAAAACATACATGAATATTTTTTCCTTGCTATTGTCTCATTAAAAACCCATAAGAATATATGATAAAATCAATCCCTTAGTAGAACTTTGAAACAAGGCCCTCCATCTTTCAGTATCTACATCAGTGTTTCTCAACCTTGACAATTTTAAGGCATGTGGACTTCAACTCCCAGAAGTCCACATGCCTTAAAATTGTCAAGGTTGAGAAACACTGCTCTACTATTTCTCTTACTGAGCAAATTCTGAAAGGGGGAGGAAGAAGGAGTGCTTCTTGTTTTCTTTTTCTTTTACCAGAATAATTATAACTGACATAGAAAATTGGTGAGAGTCTTATAAACAATGATTGTCATCTAGTGTATATCCAAAAGATGTTTAAGCCTATAGATAATATTTTTGTTTGAAATAACTCCTGCTGCCTCCTTCCTTGCTCCATCTCTACTAAATCCTTAGCTCAATAAATCTTGGTTTATGTAATCATAACTTCCCTGACATCTGAATTAGAAAACTATGGTTTAGAAGGTTTAAAGTTGAGAGGAAGCCCACATTCACATTATTGGTTTCCTATCCAAGAAACTGGTAAATTAAGCCATATTCTATAAAGGCATAGAAACACTGAATTATACTGCAAGATAATTAAATATAACCAAGAAAAAATAATATTGAAAAACATCTAATGAAGTCATGATTTATTATATTGTCTGTGAAAAATAAATCATTATTTTTATTTTTTATTTTATTCATATCATTATTTGGATTACTTTTGCATTATTTATAAATTCAATTCTATGTATAATATTACTGTTGTGCTTAATAGTTCAGTGCTGGTATTTATCTGTCCTAGACTTGTGAAACCAAGCATACCATTGGATATTTTATACATATTAAGAGAATACCTGGCTCCTTCCATGGAATAATATCTCTCAACATAAAGAAAACCTCGCTGAATCTGAATCTCTCAATGGCAGCTTACAATATTAAAATCACTGCTTATAATGAACATGGAAACTCATCTTCAGTGACATACAGGGTTCCAGATTTCATGTCAACATATTCAGGTAAAGTAGTTTCTTAAAACAACATCAAGAAAAAGTGATCTTTAAAACTTTCCATTTGTATTTTAGGTTTCAGGTAACGAACTATGGAAAATCAGGTTTTTCTGTTTTATTATCTCTGAATTCATGGAATAATAAAACATAAAATTCAATATGTTTAGATGCTATAGCATTAACATGTGATGTTCAATGTGATATTCAGACCATAGAGTGGAATATTATGTATTTTATTCCATTTGTATCCCTCTTTCCAGCTTATTCTGCAGAAAAAAAAAATATAGATTTCTCCCATGTGAGAGTTAGGAGTGAGTTTTCTTTGAAGAATATTTTGTTTTACTTATTAACATTTCTACTTACTCTTATAGATTTACCTGGTCATATCATTATCTCAAATCAGCAAAATTACACTATTATAACCTGGAATCTAAAATATAACCCTGATTGCCTTGCTATAGACTGGGGCACTGGAACAGCAGATATGAAATCCAAATGTCTGTGTCAAAATGAGACAAGCGTAATACTTGGTAATGTCATCTTTATAATATGTTAAAAGTAGAATTTTGTTTTCTTTTTCATTTTAAGAAACAACAATAAAAATGAGTTTATAGTTCTGTTCACACAGTTTTATATAGGCATACAAAAAGAGCAACAATAATGACTGAAATGGGAATATGAATTTTCAACTGCATCAAAAGACCCTCTATCGTTGTGTGTTAGAATTGCTCGGCATTCTTGTATATGTGTAGATTTCGATCACAATCTAACACAGAATTAGATATGCTTAAATCAATTGATATCAAATGTCTGTTGTGACCTAAAAAGCGTGATTGTAAATGTGGGTCTTCTAGTCTGAGCAACTTCTGCCTCATATGGGTTTCCTTTACTGGACTGAGGTATTTGTTGACCTGTAGATTAAGTTTTGTCAACGAACAAGAAAACAGGGCAATTAGCATAATCTTAATCCCTTAACAGCAAATGCAATTTTAAAGCAAAATATTTCAAATACTGCAGAAGTTGAGTACGGAAGCAAGGTATTGAACATTACATCTTAATCCATCTTGTGGAACTTTTGTGCATTTTCTCTTTTAGTGAGGCTTACACTCAAATTTTGAATAATGCTAAGTGAATACATTAAGAAAACTGCATTATTCATAGCAATGATGCCAAAAGCATGACATCCAAAAGGACAACTGGGAGATTTTAATGAGAAACAAATAGAATAAAATCCTGTAAAGTTGATAAAATCAATCAATGCAGCCTCCTGCCTGCGAGGCATTATTAAAATACTCACAGAGTGCTTATTTATTTGTTCCACAATTTTGCACAGTATCAATCAAATTAGTTACTCCTTAATTATCCAGGGCCTTTCCTCTCCCTCCCTTTTTAAAAACATTTTATTAATCACCTCCTCCAATTCTTGGAGCTGTGCCCATCTTCCATGATCATAGAAAAGGCCTCTGAAATTACATCCACAAGGTCCTTCAAGTCTCTTGATATAACTAATCTGGTCCTACCAACAAACTAAGCAAACTAAGCAATGGCAGCCAGCTACTCCTAGACAATGTCTGTATTCACCTTGGATTGCCAGTCCTTCCTTTTATCAATTGTTCTGCTTTAACCCATTTGAACCCAGTTCCTTTGATGCAACAAAGCTACTTCTTATAGCTACTTAGTAGCTCTTTAGAGCTACTTCTATTATTTGAATTTATACATTATCATTTTTACTGTCTTTGCTTCCAATGTGGATTAGCAAATTTATCTACCTTATTTTGTCTTGTCTGTTTTCCTAATTGTGTATTTCCAAGTGATGCCATTTCTGTTACCTAGATAATCTCCAGCCTTATCAGTTATATAAAGTAATGTTGCATACATTGGACCGTCAAAGCAAGGACTTAATGAAAGATGAACGGACACTGGCTATGGCCAACTTCTATGCAGTGGAAGGAGGTATTTTTACAACATTTTCTTGCTTTGCTTAGTGTTTGTCACTTTTAGTGAATTTCATTCCTATCTCTAATTATACTGTTATGGTTTGGGGGGTTTGAATATATAAGAGGAATCAGGCTTAAGATATTTATAATATATTTTACAACATAGTTTCCAAGTGTTCCTTTTTTAATTTAATTTAATTTCCATTTTTAATTTCTATTGCTGTGCTTATTAATCTTGCAATTTTCTTCATTCTTTATATTATAAGTTCAGTATGATAAAAGAATCTAAATAAATACTAAAATAGAAAGTAGTTGTAATAAATTTCAGAAACTGAATGAATTGGGGAGGGGATTCTTTGGCTGCTTTATCAAGCACATTAATTTTTTCTTTGCACTAATCCAGAACCTCAGCATACATATAAATTTATTTGTTTTCCAGTTCCTGCCATGAAATACTGCATGCAAATAGGGAATGAAATCTAGTGCAGCATTCCTCCTAGCAGAATTGCTTCTGTCAGCAGTTTCAGGAAGACAGCAGTTCCCTTGCACACCTTCTATAATCCTCCCTCTTCCTTTTCAAGTTTTATTCTTCAGATTACTCAAAACTCCAACGCAGATTTTTCTTTGACATCTATATTTCTCTGGATGTGGAGCTTTTTTCATGTATATATCCCAGCTTTAAAATTGTCTGTATATAGTTTTCAACTTTCTTCAGACATGACTTTTACAAACTTTTGATTGAAGAATACCAAAAGTTAAGACACATTTTTAATGTTAACATTCATGTCATATAGAAGTCAGTGGGAATAGAAAATCTGAATTTATTCCCAAAAGATTTATAGATTTGATAATGTGTGGGGTCTTTGTTGCTCTCTGAGCTTGGTTGTTTTCTTGCAGATGTTTCATTAACAAACTAGGTAACATCTTCAGTGCTAAAAGGGAGTGGAGTTTGTTCTCATTTTATATATTAGTGGCTTGCCCTGTCAGTGTTTGTTGGAATGGTCTTGATGGTTCCTTCATTAGGCTGTTGTTTACTGTTAGTTTGTCTGAGTTGATAGTTCCTTGATTGTTGTATTGTTTACTTGTTGATTGTTGGTCTAGTGCTAATCTTGGTATTAATCTCTGTTCTTCTGGATATTGATTGCTGGTGAAGAGGTATTTTGGTCTTTTCATTTCCTTGTTGGCTTTTTGATTGTCTCCTTTGAATGGTATGTAGATGTTGTTTATCTCTGTGCATGTTGATGGCTGATTTCTTTCAGTGCCAGGCTTCTAAGAATTCTCTAGCTTTGGGGACTTTCCTTGGTCTAGGATAGTCAGTTTTCCAATTGAAATTATGATTAAATCTGTCCATGTGCTATGAAAATAAAGGAGTTTTCGTCATGTCTTCTGACTACTGGTTGATGTTCGTGAATATGTTTTGCCAGTCTTCTTCCACTTTGTCCTATGTAATGGCTGTAACAGTCCTTATACTGTATGTTGTACATGGCTCCTATTTTTTCTTCTGGGACTGTTGGGTGTTTTGGTTTACTTAGGCTGCTTTGGAGGGCTTTGATTGTTTTATTGCTACAGTAATACCATGTGGTTATAATAGTTTGTTGATGTTTCTGAGATGCTTTTGGTGTATAGGTAGAATTATCCTTTTCACAGCTTGTGCTATATTGGGTTGAGGGGCCAGGCATTTTTAAAAAAAATGTTTTTTTTTTAATTTTTAAGAATTACAATCTTTAGTGCTTAGTAAACAACATGTTGTCTGGGTTCGCATATTTAACATTAACTTCTTCAATATAAATCTATTCAGTACTGCACAATCCAGTATTTTTTCCTCCTTTCTTATTTTTTCCATTTTCCCCTCATTACACCATTACAATTCTTGGTACTATTGATGTATACAAAGTTAGTTATAAACATCATCATATTTTACTAATATTATACAAATAACAATAATATCAATTCATAAATCAATATCCTGTTTTCCATGCTCTTGTTAAGGTTTGATTTCCCATCAATATTTGAAATATCTTTGTCAGTTATGATTTTCTCAATATTAATTACATTTATATAGCTAAAAGTTTTATTCACACCAATCCTCCTCTTATTTTCATGTTTCCCATATCAAAAAAACAAAAAAATACTATTTTAATTCTAAATCATATCTTTCATTATAAAAGTCAAAATAATTTTGTGTGACAAAAATTTCTGTGAGTCAATAGGCTTCAGAAGTGACAGACCACAATTCCATTATTTCCATTGTGTGCTGACTCCTGATGGTGAGGGTTGCAGTCCAATTTATTTAAGAATAAATTCAGGAGTATTGTAGTACATTGATGTGATAGATAGGAGCTGTAACCAAGATTTTTTTTTCCTATCAGTACTTTGCAAAGATTAACAGCACAAGAATGTATACAATTGATCAAAATAATTTTGGAAAATGGAAAATTAATTTGGATGTTCTTTTTAAGTTCCCAGGATAGGTCCAGCTAATGTAACAATTACTGTTGTGGACAAACATTCAGCTATTGTGAAATGGACTGAGATACCTACAAAAGATTGTTTGGGTTTCCTTTTGGAATATAGAATTTACTGCACAAAAGTCGCAAACAACATCTCTTGGGGTAATTTACTTCACTACGTGAGCATAATTAATCAAAATATGCATTGTATATCCTATTTCTCAGTTCTGTTGAGGACAATCCTGTAATGTAGACCTCTTGCCTAAGACCATTTGCTCAAGTCAGATCAGAAGCAAAAGTTAAACTGAGAATTCCCAAATGTTCGCTTGTCATGTTATGGAAAGCTTAGTTAAACAGGACTGGTCCAGCCCGTAACTTTATAAAGTAGGATCAGCACAAGGCACTGGAACTTGCAAGAAGTTTTTGTGGATGTGTGTGAATGCACTGTTGAATACATTGGGCATCACTTGTAATATTCTTTATATTCTCTAAATTTTTTCACAATAAAACACAAAAATAATATAAGGACCTGTAGACCTAAGCCAGTGGTGGCGAACCTATGGCATGTGTGCCAGAGGTGGCACTCGGAGCCCTCTCTGTGGGCACACGTGCCGTTGCCCCAGCCTTGCCTCCTCCCATGACCCCCTCCTCACCAGCAGCCTCCCTGGAGAAGAGTCCCCCCGAGCATGGCCCATGCAGAGCAGCACAGCCAAGGACATGGCAGCCAGGCAGCGTAGACAAGACTCTGCCCTCACACCCCATCGCGCACAGTTGATGCTGCAGGATGTGGGCAGAGGTCATGGCCGCAGTGGTGCTGCTGGGCTGCCTGGGCAATCTGCGGTGGGCCCTGGAGGTGGTGAGTGGCCCTGTGGGCAGGTGGGATGGGGGCGGGGCAGGAGGTGGAGTGGGGGCAGGGCCAGTTTTTGGGCACTTGGTCTCTAAAAGGTTCTCCATCACTGACCTAAGCTGACATCCCCAGCTGTGTTGCAATGCAATAATTGAATTAATATCCAAAGGTCCTCAAAGGGCCAGTAAAAATAATTTTGCTTATTATTTTAAATAATATTAAATGTATATAATGTATATAATGTTATATATACCTGGTATCACCAGCCTATGTAGTAGAGGAAATTTTAAATGTGGTGGGTTGGGAAGGAACGAGGAAAAAGTAGATCTCCAGGTCATGTTCAAGTAACAAATCAGATGTCCCCATATGAAAAAAAGTGTACTGGGCATTGTTTCAAAGCTTTACTCACAAAAATCTCACTAACAAGTCAATGTTGCAATGTTCACTATTGGTAACTGAATTTTGGTTTTTGGTTAGATTGCAAATAAGAGATAAGTGAACTATCTTAGGGGCAGAGCCATTTCTATCAAATGAGTTTTCTATTCAGATATATGATCTATATACTAAAAAGATGTGATAACAGACAGATAACAATTTCAGTTGAAAACATGTAAAAGGGAACAAGCTTGCGTCACAAGAAATAGATTTTCTTTAATTTATATAATATCAGACTCCTAAATTTTAAAGTTTCCTATAAAAGAGAGAAAAGGAAAGTCAGCATGCATGTATCACATGTATTTTGATTTTGGAGGCAGCAGTGAGCACTGTTCATAATGACCCACATGCTGCAAATGCTTTACTATTTTGAAAAAAAATGAATCTTTTATTCTACTTCAATAAAATATTTAAGTGAAAAAATACTTTTAACTTCAAATGCTGGTGCAAAAGATACTTAGAATCCGTATACTGTAAGATATTCTCCTACAGAGCTGCATGATTAAATGTCAAAGAAGGGATTTGAAGTCTTTTGTAAAAGTAAGGCATCATAGTTCTAAATGCAGAAGACCTGGTTCCCTTCAACTCTTCTTCATCTTTTTCTTTTATAAAGAAACCGGTTGTGAAATTAAAAGAACTCAGAGAAAGGAAAGGTCAAAAGAAAAAAAGAGAAGCAGCTGATAATTGGACAGGGTAAAAAGAGGAGAAAGAAGGGAAGGTAACAAATATACCTAAACTAGAATTAAAAAGAAGACATTGACAGTACTTTGCAGACATCTAAAAAATAATGATATAGTACATAAAGCACAGTGAAGTTCTATTGATGGTCCTCTTTAAAGAGAAGACACATATATTGTCTGCTCATATCATGTTTGAGGTAGTCCTTGTTTAATTATGCTAATTAGTAATGTTGTTAAGTGATGCAAACATGTCAAAACAATTATATGACCACCATGTTGACAGTACTTCTGGCAGTTTTGGTTGTCATAGCTAAGCAAAGATAGGTAGATAGGTGACAACCTCTAATGATCACAACTTCTAACTTCCTGCCAGCTTCCCCATTTACTTTACTTGTGAGAAGCCAGCTTGTAAGATCAAAAATCTTAATTACTTGACTGTGGGGACACTGCAACCATTGTTTATGAGATTTGTTCATAATTACCATCATTCATCATTCAAATTTGAATGGTTGCTGAATAAGTAGTCATTAAATAAGGTCCACCTGTATTGTAAGCAAAGTTTGAATTGTTCAAGATCATTTGATTGTATATGTAAGTGGATACAGAATACAATAGCTTCTACACCACATATAGAAAGATGCCATGCTACCATGTTAAGTACATTAAGAGAAGAGACAAGGTCAATCACTGGTCAAACTTCAAGAGAATTTTCAGTTTATCATTTGAAGAAAGCATCACTAAGACCTTAGAATAGTGTTTTTCAACCTTGACAACTTTAAGGTAGGTGGAGTTCAACTCCCATAATTCTCCAGCCAAACATGAATTCTGGGAGTTGAAGTCCACCCATTTTAAAGTTTCCAAGATTGAGAAACACTGGCTTAGAAGATATTCATCTATCACCCAAATACATTTCTAATGAATTATTCCTCTTCTGCCTTTCCATTACAGCTGTTACTCTCAATTCTTCAATGAAACAACACTTGTTGACTAATCTTAAGGCAAATACCCATTATACAGTCCACATCTCTGGCATCACTAGAAAGGGAGAAGGAGCTCAAAGCCAGCCACAGGATTTTACTACACTGAAATATGGTATTTTGATATGTTATTATTATGCATTTACTTATTTTTACTTTTCATGTGTATTCTATTCTTCCACATTAGTATTACTTGGCTGTACATCTAGTCAAATTAAGAATATCCACAAGTCCACGTTGTATTCCGCATTGACGTAGAAGAGATGGCTAACCTTATTAGTGCCAACAATGGGCACAGTTATGCCTCCCAACCAGTTTCTGGACCATAAATAACTGCATATGTTAGATCCTTGTTAGAAAAAAAAGTTATCTTACTTTCCAGTGGAACATTTTCTACCAGAAAGGCTAATTCCCTAGACCATGTTTCTCATCCTTTTCTGTTGTTTATTTCTTCTTAGATCAAGGAGAATTTGAAGGAATGGTTGTTAGTCTCTGTCTTGGCCTCATAATAATCCCAGCTATTACTATCGCAATTTGTTCCTTACTACTGAAACGGTAATAATATTTTCATGATCTAGAAATACTTTAATTGCTTTGCATATTTTTATTTAGATTGTATTAATTAGCAAACAAAAGCCATGGGAGTCAAAAATGGTGCAAAACTTTTTAAATTGTGAACAAAAGAAAAACAGGGTTCTGCTCACCACCACATGGACTCACCACTACCTTTTGTCCGGCTCTATAAAAGTTAAGAATTAAAGTAACATTATTAACTGAATAACAGAATAACAGAGTTGTAAGGGACCTTTGAGGTCTTCTATTCCAGGGGTCCCCAACCCCCAGTCCATGGACTGGCACTGGGTCGCAGCATACCAGAAGCTGGGCCACATCAGAAACAAGCGAAGCCCCATCCATGGAATGCAGGCAGCATGTGAAACCACACTCCCTCCAGTCTGCAGAAAAACCTCTCTGCACAGAACCAGTCCCTGGTGCCCAAAAGGGTTGGGGGCTGCTGTTCTAGTCCATTCCCCTGCTCAAGCAGGGGGGCCTATACCATTTTCAATAAATGGTTATCCAGTTCCTTAAAAGCGTCCAGTTTTCGAGCACCTACAACTTCTTAAGGCAAGAGGTTCCACTGGTTGATTGTTCTTACTGTCAGTAAGTTTTTCCTTAGTTCTAGGTTTCTTCTCTCTTTGGTCAGTTTCTATCCATTACTTCTTGTCCTGCCTTCCGGTGCTTTGGAGAATAGGTTGATTCCTTCTTTTTTGTGGCAGCCCCTCAAATATTGGAACACTGCTATCATGTCACCCCTAGTTCTTCTTTTTGTCTAGACTAGACATACCCAATTCTGCAAACATTCTTCATATGTTTTAGCCTTCAGCTCCCCACCCCATCATCTTTGTTGTTCTTTTCTATACTCTTTCCAGAAACTTAACATCTTTTTTATATTGTGTTGTCCAAAATTGGATGCAGTATTCCAAGTGTGATTTTACCAAGTAGTATCACTTCTTGTGATCTTAATTCTATCCCTCTGTTAACTCTCATCTGGGAATAAGCATTCAGAGGGGGTGTTAGGAGAAGTATACAAGTGCAATATAATGGACAGGAGAAGGGCAGAGAGAATCCATTGCAAATGAACTGGTTCTAAAATCATGTGAAATAGTTTTTCCCCTTTTCTTTTTCCCCTTCTGCAGTAAGGATAAAAGCAAACATACTTTTTTACTTTTGTGGGGCCTTTTGATCCAGCACATTTAAGCTTCTGCCACCTCAACATATTTTGGTTCTTCTTCCTTTTGCACGCAGAGTGCCAGAAAAAATAAGGGCAAAGGCAATTATTATGTTCCCATGAGAAATATTCCAAAACTACATCAAGTTTTTTACTGGCAGATTAGAATCTTGTTTCTCGGAAACCATGTAATGCAGAGTTTCCATAATCAGAAACGATAGTTTGTTTACAGTTTAAAAGAGCATGTAAACCAATAAAATGTAAAAATATTTTAACCCCTTGAATTATAAAATAAGTGTTTTAATAAAACAGAAAATAATGTTCAAGGGTTTGATGATCAGGATGCATTGACTAGAACAGAGCAAATAGGAAAAATATTATGAACAATTGAGTACATTGGTATTTGCCAGTAAGAAAATGATCTGTAAAAAGAAAGAATGGAACAGTAATTAAAAAAAATGAATGTTTGGTAATAAATATACTAATACATAAATGTCACATATAGATTATACAGAAAAAAACTATATGCTTAAATAGTGTATGTCATGCAACTTTAGCTAGGAGATACTATTACAAACTGCACCAAATTGCACAAATTGATATTTACAGCATGTAAATTGCACCTGCTCGTTGGTTTTTCTCAGATAAGCCCATTCTAAATGCTTTGGCCAAAAGGTCATTTCTGCCAGGTGCTCAGCTGTATAGCCTGTTAACACTGAATTCATTATAAAACTTGCTCAGCTGTATATTGTATTAACATTGAATTCATTATAAAACTGCAGGAATAGGTTTTTAAGAACTAAACATAATTTTCCCGTTTTCAACAAAATTTGGACTTTCAGATCAAGAAAATTATGCTGGCCACCTGTTCCAAATCCAAGAGATAGCAGTGCTATGCAAGTTGCAGAAAAAACCTTTCCAGTGGTATGGTTCTTTTAAGCATTATAGCACCATTATAATACTGTGGATGTATGCTCCATTATTAAACAGTATAGCTGTAGCATAATTGTTTATGTATAGAGTACCTTTCCACTGTTGTATTCGAATCAACATACTGTTGGGTTTGCTGTTTGCACTCTCATCTTCTATGGGTCTAGAACAGTGATGGCGAACCTTTTAGATACTGAGTGCCCAAACTGCAACCCAAAACCCACTTATGCATCGTCAAGTGCCGGATGGGTGTCGCCAATTGGGTGGGCGTGGCCCATTGGGTGGGCATGGCTGCGGTGGTAACGGCAGACTGGGTGGGACTAAAAAGTTCAATCAATCAATTCCAACTTTGCAAGATCTTTTTTTTCCTGTGAGAAATTGAAATTGACTGAATGAACCTTTTTTTTTTTTCACATGGTGGCAGAGGCCTAAAGCGAAAAGGTTTTATAAAACCCAGCTGAAGGCCTAGGACTGGGGTGACGGCACGTGTGCCCACAGAGAGGGCTCTGAGCGCTGCCTCTGGCACCTGTGCCATAGGTTCGCCACCACTGGTCTAGAATAATCCTGAGCAGACAAATGTGTAGAATTATTTTTCTTTTTTTAAGAAAGCTCTGTTGAGTTTCATTAATAGATCATCTCATTTTCAAATTTATAAGTGTAAAGTCAGATTAAAAAATCAAGGCTTAACAAAGTTAATTTTCTGTCTGAAAAGAATGCCATACTAATTTAACTCAACCTACATTTCTTAATTCTGTGTACTATCTTCTATATACAATAAATTTCCGAATAAACTAGGAAATGGCTGGCATATAAATTAAGAAAAGAAAAAGAAACAAAATGCTATTGAAACTTCAAGGGAGAGAGATAGCAATAGCACATAGACTTATATATCACTTCACAGAGCTTTACAGCCCTCTTTAAGCTGTTTACAGAGTCAGCATATTGCCCCAATAATCTGGGATTTCATTTTACTCACCTGGGAAGGATGGAAGGCTGAGTCAGCCTTGAGGCAGTAAGGATTGAACTGCTGGCAGTCAGCAGAATTAGTCTGCAATACTTCATTCTAAACACTGTACCCCCATGGATCCTGTAATAACAGTTAATACGCAATACAAAAATGTTACAAAAGGTTTTTCATTAGTATTACTATAATTTGTACAAAGAACATAATATCCCTGTGTTGAAAATAGATGAATATTTAAAAATATATTAGAGAAACAGATTATGATTAGTGAAAGAGGTTTCCTATAAAAAAGATTAAACCTGACAAAGGAATAGTTGTCAGTCCCTAAATAGGTCAACCATATCAATCTGCCACCTCCGAATAAATTGATCTCTACTCTCTAATTGCCAACCAACATAGCTAATGGGCATGTTGACTAGGAATTTTGTGCCCTGCACCTAGCACAACCGGAGGTTATTAGGTTGGATACCTTGCAGTGTCATACCATGATTCATTAATCACAGTAAAAGTAATTTTCTCAATTTGTTTCTCATTAATTTTACTTTAGGAATTAATACCTTTAACTCTGATATTGCCATAAGAAATTAAACCTGTGTTTGCACAAAACTTACCCATGGTTAATTTAACTCTTATGCTCAATTAGCGCAATGTTCTGGGCTTGCACGGGATCTAATTACTCAAATGGACTGGTAAGATTGGCTGGCTTGTAGCTTAATGTGTTGTTTGAATACAGGCACTTAGTGACAAGTTATTTTCTTTTCAACTTCACTGTATATACAGGCTCTCCTGAGACCCAGCTTACAACCATTGCTTCCTTCAGTACCACTGAATGAAGCCAATAAACTTTATGTGATAAAGGATGATTTGGAGGCATTTCCCCAGCAAATGTTCCTTTCAACAAGTCCAGCAACTGGGAGAGTTTCCACAGAGTATTCTGAAGCAATTGTAGGGCAAAAGGAAGGAACACTTCCCAAGCCTCATAAAAGAGTTAATGCCAGTGAGAAGGCAAAGGGAGGCCTTCACCTTGATTATGTTGGTATGGAATTCAGTCACAAAGCCATGCAAAAGTTTCCAGAGAATCTGCCTATGAAAACAGTCCATCTCTAACAGAAGTTGTTCAAAAGCTCAGGAAGTGAAGAAGAATCGCCAGTATCTAGCTGCGCTGGAGATCCTCTGAAGTAAAGCTGATGATACTTCAGGCAATAACCCGATCCTTAGAAAGTATACCCAAATACAAGCAAAATCGTCTTACAGTAGATGGAAGAAATGTCATTAGAATTCATAGTGGCATAAGTAGCAATTGTTTGATAGATTCTAATCAGACAATCTTATTGAAATTATTTATTTCATTACATTGCATATATCATTGGGAAGGGTCTAATTATAATTACAAATACAGCTCAGTTTAAGCTCTGTCATGCAATTATATTAATTTGTACCATGGGAATTTAATTATTTTTAAGCCTAATGATTTGAGTTTTACTTGTAGCAATTCAGCACTATATTTCTAGAGGGATGTTGTGAGCTATTGAACCTATAGCTTAAACGGCTTAGGCACCATCTTGTTCCATTCTTTGCAGATATTTTTTCTAATGTACATTATGTCCAATGTTTTTCACAATTCAGTTCTATTTATAGCAATGTAGCAAAATACATATTTTAAATTGTGCTACTCAAGTTGTCAAAAGTTGAACAGTTTCTTCAATTAACATTACAGTAGCCTGAAATCAAAGGGCCACATTGCTTTTGATCCCTAAGGTTATATGAAGTAAACAGATGCTACAACAGAAATTAATATATCAAACCTCTCCCGGTTCTGGATCGCCTCTAGCCGTACAAAGAGACTTGTCTCCTCGTCGGCTAGCTTCCCTCCGCCGGTAGACCCTTATGCGGGTCAAAGTTCACCCTGGAGGGTGCGACTTCTGTCGAGGAGGCTTTGCTTGGCTGCAGAGGAGCGGCGGCTTCTCCAGCTGTCCGAGCTATGTCTGAGGGCTGACAGAGAAGATCGGCCAGTAAAATGGCTGATCACCCCGCTGCTTCAAACCGCAAGTCAAAGAACATCTAAGCTGTAAGAACCACCGTGGTGAATCCGGATGAGACTTTTTTTTCTTTTTCCTGCTCCTCTCTTCATTTTATCTTGCTTTTTTTTTTTTTTTACCTGTAAGAGCCTTGTTGGAATTATTTTCCTGGCTTGAAAAAGCAGCTTCTACATGTTTGGGAAGAAAGGCGTTGAACAAAAGAATACAATAAAATTTTAAAGACTATATCTTATTTTCATATGCTTTGGGATACAGAAATATTTTTTTTCTAAGAGCTGTACTATCATTTTATGTTGGAAAATTATTTCTTTTTTCACATTATACTTCAAAGAAAGAAAAAAGGGGAAAAACTGGTGTCTGGAAAAGTTTTTTTTCAACTTACTGAGGATATCTAGTGGCGAAAATCTAATTTGCAACTTTTGGCTATTCTTTGGAGATGGAATAGATGGACCTTCAAATTACTTTTGAAAAGATAAGCTGATGCAGCTGTGAGAGTTGTGGGAGTGGACACTGTTTATTTTTTATTAAAGACAGCCTCCACAAGAATAAAAAAGAGACTCTTTTTAATTACTATCAAAATGGAGAAAGCTCATTTATAATTAAACTGCAAACTTATATTGGAAAAGATTTATAAGGCCACTGCAGAAATATGTGCTACATTGAAAGAGTTTACTACAGAATTAAGATCCAGAAGTGGTACTTCAAATCTTCAAACTGATCTCTAGACTACATCTGACTATTCTATAAATCAAATCATACTAGAAGAGGAAACAACTGAGATAAATAAGGAAGTTATTTTATCTTATAAATATTCCATCTACAGCTTTCAGGACCAGAAGAATCAAAGACTGAGACTGGAAACTTTAAAGCAACAACGCTTTAAGGATGAAAGAAATAGATGCCTAATGCAGACGATGGGATTCCTATTGTTTCAAAGGGCACTACAAGCAATAAAGAGAGATCTATTGGCTGAAAGGGAAGCTTGGCTATGGAAACCTGTCTGGCACAGAAAAAAAGCCAGAATAAGACTGAAAAGAGAAATTTAAAATTGTGTAATGGATTTAAAGGCAATGTTGATTTATGGACAGTTTTAAGGATTAAGATTTAGAGTTAGAAGTAAGAAAAAAGATTGATTATTAGAACAGATGTTTTATTTTATATTAAGAATGTATTTTTTGGAATAACAGGTTTATTTTATGAAAATTATTATGTATTGGAATGGAAAAAATGCTGGCTTTTTAGAGTTGGATTGTTTTAATAACTAATTGTTTTAAATTACTAGAATGATGTTTCTGTATGATAATATAGATATGATAAGGCATGATAATCAATTGGATGAAATTTGAATTTTGTTTAATGAATTGAAATGAATTAAGACTTACACTATTTTGTTATTTTAAAGAGACTGATCGATTGATGAATTATCTATGTATAGGGTAGATTAATATTTTATCTTAATTAGGATATGTATTGTGTAGTGGAAGAAGAAATAAATGAGACTAGTGATAAAATGAGGGATATAAGAATTAGAATATAGCTGGAAGGGATACCTGAATTGATAACTTGTTGATTTAAAGTTAAATTTGATTATGGTAATTGTAAATTTACAAAGTTTTAAAACAGGTTTAGCAGTTATAGAAATTTAAATTAGAAATGGAATATTTTAAATGTATTATGCTAGTTGAGGGAAATATAGAGGGGACATTGAATGTATTGAGTTGACTTATATATATATGGTTCTATTGTTGAATGTTTGATTACCCAATCACCACGGTGTGTCCTGAGCACCTTTTTCTAAGATTGAAAAAACCAATAAAATGTGTTTCAAAAAAAGAAAAGAAATTAATATATCAAATAACTATATTGATATTTTTGCAATGAACTGGTTTTTTTAGTTAAGCTTACAAATTTTCTCCTGAAGCTCTCTGATATAAATAAAGTCACTTAGAAATTAGTATTTACCAATAAGAGTTTATGCTATTTAGTATTTAAACTTTATGGACAGGAACTTGCTCAATTATTCATGCTGTAATCACTATTTCTTTGGCTATGGGGCTACCCCTGAAGACCACTCAGAAGTTAAAACTGGTCCAGAATGCAGCAATGTGCTGCTGTACACTCAATTTGTCCATATTAATCTATTATGCAAACCTCTCGCTTTCCGGATACAATCCAAGGTGCCAGTTTCCACTTTTAAAGTGCCACATGGAAGAAGGCCAGGTTATTTTCAGGGCTGCCCACTCAGTTGGATAGAGTGGACAACTCCAGGTCCCTTCCTCTGAATATTATCTAGCGGGAAGTATAAAGTATGCCTTTTTCATGGAGTTATCTCCCACCCACCCCCAAACCCAGGAGCCAACAGAACCTTTTAGTCTTCTCCCAGACTTTAGGATAGGAGCTGGGGACCTGTGGGTTTCTGCTGGATGTATTCAAGAATGGAACAGATGCCAGATTTTGGTTTCATTTTCTGATTTATATTGTTGTGAATTGCCCAGAATTGCATGCGAAGATGGTCAGCTATAAAATTGTTTAAATGAAATAAAATAGTATTTAAAAAAGGCATAACACTGAGCTAGTAATTTTCAAAAAAAATCTTTTTAATCAGAGACTCAGACTGGAATTGGCTTGATAGCAGAATGTGTGGTAAGGGAGTGGAAATTAAAACAAGTACAGTATCTTTCATGCTTTTCAGTTTAACCCCCCCCCCATTGTGTTATGACTTTATTTTTGATGGCACTATGGAATAAGTTACTTCTAAATTTATATTACTAGAACTCTTGGAAAGTGCAAGGTAAATCCCAAACTTGTTTAATTGTTCTAACGCGTTTTTCAGTCCTCTAAGGATCTAAAATTACTATGCCCAGTGTCTTGTCAGCAACATTTAGCAAAGTTAGCTTCTTTGGCACCTGTGCAGATAGAAGCTCTTTCCACATTTATGCAAGATGCTCTGGCAGACAACAGGGTCATCATATGCACCCATTATACAATCCTTGTATCTCCAAATCTGTCATTTCTATATGTGACATTAAAGACAGATTATTCTACAACCTTGAGCTACACATTTGTGAAGTAACGATGCATGAGCAGAAAGATAGGCTGTGTCCTTGCTAACAATTTTGTGGAAATTTTTAAAAAAATAAATTCAACTTGAGAATTTATATGTTTTTAAGCTGACAACACTATCTTATACAGACTTTTTGGTCACATTGGAATAAATTGTATACTTTGGGATTTTTTAACAATTGTTTTCAGAATTCTGTAAGGAAGCCTGTGCAGCCTTTGCTCTTTCTCTTCTTTGCTCTACATCTTTCTGTCTTCATCTGCCCCCTCCCCCCACCCCCCACTGCAACTTTAGGAGGAATCTGAGCCCTCAGGAAAAACTGTAGAAGAAAAGATCATGCAAACACTGACTACAGTATTCTTCAATTTGGTGCAATATTTTGTATAATGAAATGTCTATGTATTCCTGTGGAACTACACAGAAACAAAACAAAAAGTGTCTCAATGATCTGATGCAATTTCAATAGGAAAAGAGGATTTCATTGTAGACTTACAAGACAACCTATTCAGCTACTACATTAATTTTAAATTGATCCCAATCAAAGCTTCACTAGGCCAACTGTAACCATCTCAGCCTCTGCTTGTAAATTAAAGTAATACTATCTTTGGCAATATATGTAAAATAATTTGGAATATTTGAGAAACACAAAGTACTAACCATTACTGTATACTGAAAAGTTATAACCTTTTAATACATACTCCTCTGTATTCCATTTTTTTTTACTTTGTTATATACCAACGCAAACCAAAGTATCCACATAACAAAATGCAGCTATTGTAGTAAATGATAATCAACTTCCAGGCATTACTTTAAAAAGCAAATCAAAACTACTTCTCTCTAAAATACTAAAATTTATTAGTGATGGTACCAAAGATAGCGAGTATACAATCTTTGCTCTACGCTACTTACACATCATAAATATGACAGCTGCTGTTCCAAGACACAATCTTTCACAGTTCTTCAGATCTGTCATTGCTTTATCAGAATAAGCTGTTCGCTAGCCAACTTCATGTGGCATAAACATCAAAAATTACTGTCCATACTTTACATGGTAAAGCATTCACTAAAGTTTTATTTTTGAAGAAACTTTAGACTGTAACAAAAAAAACAAAAAACCTCACCCAACAATGAGCTACTAAAGCAGTGTCACAATCTATGGGCTCTATTACCTTATAGCTTTCATTTTTCTATAAATATTCACCTATCTGTCCATAAACACAAATATAGAGAACACAAACTGAAAGCTATATAATTATTTGGCTTTTCATACCTTTTTTCAGTGCTATAAAGCCATATGTTTGTATTACATTGTATTCAAATAGTTCTTGATTTTACGGCAACTGTATTATAAGGTATAATCCTTTGCTGTAAATTTTAAAAGGCTGCAATGAGTTGCACTCATCATAATTATTTTCTTTCAGATCTTTATCAAACAGAACAGAAATCTTAATTACTTCTTTACTTGTGATGTTACACAAGTAGTATAGAAATAACCTCTTATATACATACTTTTAAAGGGAGCTTTTTATGCTCCAGTCCTGTTGAGAGGTCAATTACTTTTATTTAGCACTATTCATCTGCCTGATTCAGTATATGATCTGAAAAAATGAATGGATTAACTGGATTGTATGCTGGATCATGCCCGCCTTTTTATGGTCCCTAAACAGCAATTAGCTAGGGATAAAATCAAGAGATCTAATTATTTTAAATAATTAATGGTTGATATGATTGACATCTGGTGTGATTGAATCATCAAAAAGAGCAACTCATAAACAGAGAAATTAAAAAAAATAACCTCTACATTACCAGAAATCACTATTCTCTGTGTCAAAGGCACTAAAGCATCAGCTTGTGCTCTACATCTCCATTCAAAAGTAAAAATTCATTTTTCGCTTTCTGTTCTATTTGCAAGTTACTAGGCACCCTGTAATACAACTCAAGAGAAAGTCAGTTGTTTGGAATTACTACATAGATGTGCTTATAATTGGAAGAATGGAACTCTAGTACAAACATGGATCTTCTTTTTAGAATTAGCATGCATTGATCAACTACTAGTTAAGAGAAGAATTTTAGATTTATGTTCTAAAGAATTTTTTTAAAATATAAAAAGAAAGTCACAAACAACAGAGGAAAGAATCTTCACTTGCCTTTGTGGGCATAAACACAACTATAAAACTGTGTTGGGTTAAAACTTTTCATCACTGTAATTTACAACATCAAGGGAAATATGTTTATTTCTGCACCATTTCCAAGCACATCATCAAAACATATCACATGGAGTTTAGTTTTAAAACCATAAGAAAAACAAAATTTATCAACCTACAAATATTTTAACAACTTCCAAATGCATCTCTGTGTAGCTTTTCAGGATAGTAGACTGCAACCACTTTTTATTTTACAATTTGACCATTGCTGTTTGGTTTTGTCACAGCATATCCTATTGGTCAGCCTTGGCTTCTTGTGTGTCCTCAAACTGACCAAACCATCAAGACTGGAATAGCTGCTAGTACAATATGTTATGTCCAGTTGATTGCTTAATAATTTTTTATCCTCTTTTGATGGATTTTTGAGATCAGAGAAAAAGTCTTGTTTCTTTTGCCAAATGGGTCAAATGTCCAATCAACATTCTACACATCTTCAGTTATAACTGAGATTGTTTCTTCATTTGGTTGGCAATTCCCATTCTGTTGTTGTTCCATTTCTGCTGCAATTGTTGTCTCCTCTTCCACTGCTGCTTTATTGATTTCAGAATTTTTATTCTCTTTACTGAGATCTTTATCCTTTATAAATAAAGAAAAAATATTTAAAAGGCAAGAAATAAAAAATACACATCAAACTTATCTAATTGATTTTTGAGGATATGCACTCTCATGCACTCCAAAATTTGAATTTTAAAACATTTTTCTCATATCAACCACAACTTTGTAAGAAATGTCTGGCACTTAAGCCTATTTTGTTGTATAAGATATATTTTGAGATCCATTGACATTCTTGCTATAGAAGTTAAGACACTCTTCCACTGTCTAAGCAACATAGAAATTCTTTCTTCTACTATTTTTATTACACATTCCATTCCATAACTTTCTGCTGAATAGTTCTTTCCAGAGAACTAGAGTTCTACTGTATTTAGATCGTAATGCTGTGCATCCAGCCAAATATATGTATATTCCGAAGCTTCCCGAATAAGAAAATTAATAGCGATTGTTGAATTCCAGTATTTAATGCCTGACAATAGGTAAGCACAATTAGTTCTAGATTCAAAAAAATGAGCCCTCCCTCATTAACTGGTAACTTTTCTGTTAAAAAAAATAGCTTTAGGCCAGTCACTTCCTTTCAACCCCGTGTATAAAAAATGCAGAAAGAAAGAAAGAAAGAAAAAAGAAAGAAAGAAAGAAAGAAAGAAAGAAAGAAAGAAAGAAAGAAAGAAAGAAAGGAAAAGAAAGGGAAAGAAAGGGAAAGGAAGAAATAAAGACAGAAAGAAAGAGAGAGAGAAAGAAAGAAAGAAAGAAAGAAAGAAAGAAAGAAAGAAAGAAAGAAAGAAAGAAAGAAAGAGAAAGGGAAAGGAAGGAAGAAAAGGAAAGAAAGAAACATCTGATAAAAAACTGAAACCTCTGAATTACTTATTTTTAAATGCCAACTTTTTAATGAAATTCACAATACATAATAATAATGATGATGATGATAATGATAAAGTTGGAAGGGACCTTGGAGGTCATCTAGTCCAACCCCCTGCTCAGGCAGGAAACCCTATACCATTTCAGACAAATGGCTGTCCAGTTTCTTCTTAAAAACTTCCAGTGTTGGAGCATTCACCACTTCTACAGGCAGGTTGTTCCACTAGTTAATTGTTCTAACTGTCAGGAAGTTTCTCCTTACTTCTAAGTTGCTTCTCTCCTTGATCAGTTTCCATCCGTTGCTTCTCATCCTGCCTTCAGGCGCTTTGGAAAATAGCTTAATTCCCTCTTCTTTATGGCAGCCCCTGAGGTATTGGAATACTGCTATCATGTTCCCCCTTGTCCTTCTCTTCGTTAAACTAAACATACCCAATTCCAGCAACCGTTCCTTATATGTTTTAGCCTCAAGTCCCCTAATCATCTTTGTTGCTCTTCTCTGTACTCTTTCTAGAGTCTCAGCATCTTTTTTACATCGTGGTGACCAAAACTGAATGCAGTATTCCAAGTGTGGCCTTACCAAGGCATTGTAAAGTGGTATTAATACTTCACATGATCTTGATTCTATCCCTCTGTTAATGCAGCCCAGCACTGTGTTGGCTTTTTTGGCAGCTGCAGCACACTGCTGGTCATATTTAAGTGATTGTCTACTAGGACTCCGAGATTCCTCTCACAATTACTACTATTGAGCAAGGTACCCCCTATACTATACCTGTACATTTGGTTTTTCTTGCCTAAATGTAGAACTTTACTTTTTTCACCACTGAATTTCATTTTGTTAGATAGCGCCCAGTGTTCAAGTCTGTCCAGGTCCTCCTGTATCTTAAGCCTGTCTTCTGGAGTGTTGGCTATTCCTGCCAGCTTGGTGTCATCCGCAAATTTGATGAGTTCCCCATCTATCCCCTCGTCCAAATCATTGATGAAGATGTTGAAGAGCACTGGGCCCAGAACAGAGCCCTGGGGCACCCCACTACACACTTCCCTCCATGTAGATGCAGTTCCATCGAGGACCACATGCTGAGTATGGCCAGTCATCCAGCTACGAATCCATCTGGTGGTGATGCTGTCTAACCCACATTTTTCTATCTTATCGAGTAGTAGGTTGTGATCTACTTTATCAAATACCTTGCTGAAGTCCAAGTAAATTATATCCACAGCATTCCTCTGATCCACTAATTTTGTCACTTGGTCAAAGAATTCAATAAGGTTTGTCTGGCATGATCTGTTTTTGACAAACCCATGTTGGCTTTTAGTAATGACTTTGTTTGCCTCTAGGTGTTCCCTGATTTGTTGTTTGATTATCTTTTCCAAAATCTTCCCAGGTATTGAGGTCAGGCTGATAGGTCTGTAATTTCCTGGGTCCATTTTTTTTTCCTTTTTTGAAGATGGGAACAACATCAGCTCTTTTCCAGTTCTCTGGTAGTTCCCCAGTGCTTCAAGATCTTTGAAAAATATAGTTCAGTGGTTCTGAGATCACATCTGCCAGTTCCTTGAGAACACTGCATCCTTCTATTGCTATTAGTACTGCAACAATTAGTTTCTTCTATTTCTATAGTAATCATTAGCTAGCCACCAATTAACTATCTAAACCTGCTACACAGAATGGGAAATTATCTTCCACCAAATGAAAGAACCATACCCTAGGATTTAGGAAGCTTTTAAAAGCAATAGTTTTTAAAATATACATTTAGGGACTAAGGCAAGAGATACAATAAACCGGGCTACTTGGAGTTATTATATTTTGTTGAATTTATATTGCTAACATTTGTTTTATAATTTAGTTACTACATTAATTGTAGAACTGAAGAACTGAGCTAGAACTGAAGAAGCTTCTTGGATGAGAAGCAAATCATTTGGAAAAGGCACCTTTGGGACAAAAAAGAAAAACAGCCAATCTAAAGGGAAAGGAGAGAACCCAAATGCACACAATTCATGACTACAAGGACCTGAACAAAGTGACAATTAGACACAGGGCTTTTTTTTTGTCATAGAACGCCCAGAACGGAGTTCCAGCACCTTTTTTGGATGGAACCTTGTAGGGTAGGCAAGGCGGGTTGTATGATGTGTGTAAGCACCATTTTTTTTTTTTTTATAAAAAAGCACTGATTAGACACCATCTCAGATCTACTAAACCAGTTACTAAAAACATCCCCTTTACAAAACTAGACTTGAGAAGTGCTTACAACCTAATCAGAATGAAAGAAGGGTATGAATCTTCGATACAAGGTACAGGAGATTTGAATACATAGTGATGTCTTTCGGCCTGATTTATTCCAAAAAATTTTTCTAGCTTCACAAAGAAACATTTCTGCAAGACATTATTGTCTATTGCATAACCTCTTGGTTTATTCTGAAGATCCCTGCTTGCATGTAACTCATATGAGAAATATATTGCACAAATTGCAAGACAATAAGCTCTTTGCTAAATTAGAAAAATGCACATTCAATTTGACTTGGGTTGTAGAATATCCAGAAAGCATTTAGATGGATCCAGCAAAGGTGCAGTCTATTCTATTACAGTATTTCCACTACCATTCCCTGTTATGCAAAAGACTGCAGCACCTTCTAGGCTTTGCTAACTTCTACAGGAAATTCATCCCTAATTTTGCCAAGCTTGCAAAACCACTACTGCAGCTCCTGAGAAAGGTTCAGTGTTTCTCCTGGCCCCAAAGCAACCCTTTTGTTATGCAAAATGTGAGTTCTACTCTGAACAGTGAAGGGGGGGGGGAGAATTACTTCCATGCTCATTTTACTCAAAAAACGAAACAAAAAAAAACACCTTTTGAAAATAGGGGAGGGGCAGGGGAATAGGTGGGCATAATCTTCTTCCATGAACTGTTACATGACAACAATTCAATAGGATACAGAGAAATATTTAAAATTAAATATAGGCTTCTAAGAGAATTTTGGTGATTAAAAACCCTCACTGAAAACCCTCCTCTTTCTATGTCTACCAACGTTCTTCCAGCCTACAGTGCTAAGGGGAGCAGCTTGCTCTTGTAAAAGTGGAGTCAACTCAATCCTATCTGGTTGCTGGCTGCCACTAAAGGGTATTGGGAACTTGTCTACCTATTCATTACAACAGATAGCTACAAAACCATTAAAATTGCTATTTAATGTATTTCTTGTAGAAATACCACTCAAGATAGCTTATTACATACATATATTATTTAGTTTATTATTAACTTCAGAACAGTATTAGAAAATATGCTAAAACTGAATACAACTGATTTACTTCATCTTCTGCAATTAAGAACAATTGTCTTTCCTTCTTATTGGAAACAACATTCTACCAAGGGAATAATTCTGAGAAGGCCCCAAAAGAATAAAATTCAACACTGCAAATTGTGTACTTTCACACTAAACTATTTGGTTATTTTTTAAAAAAGGAATATGGTATTTATGACTTCTTGTTCTTGCTTGCAATTACTGAGGAATTGAGAAGAGAATTTTTCAGTAATTAAATACAATTCAGGAGGTATCCAAAGAACCAATGAAAGGCAGCAGTCACTGAAGTCTTCCTAAAATATTCTACAATGATTGCATTGGCTTAATCAAAATAGACTTACCTTCACAATTGTGATTTTATCTGATTTTTGTTTGACCTCTTTGTCTTTACTACTCTTTTGCTTTGAGGTAGACCTCTCCCTCTCTCTTCCATCATTACTTATATCTCTCTCCTTCTCCGTCTTTTTCTCTTTCTTGCTTCTGTTTTGGAAAAAATATTATACCCCCCTAATGTAAATAGGATGATTCATTTCATGCTTACAGATATTTTCATATGAATTCATTAAAGAACAATCAGCAAAGTCACACATCCTCAAACAATACTGAATTCATGACAAATAACATTGCAACAAGCTCATAGTACTTAATATATTTAATGACAGAAAAAGTAAAATTTATTTTAGCAATTTCTTCTAAATACTTACTTTAAACATAGGGAAGCTAATTTTAGATTTTACTCAAGATACCTGGATAAAAATAATCAACTATTCTCAAAATTGGCAGATAAATTTGCATTAAATAATTTGGCTGCTCAACATAGAATACCTAGCAATAGAAAAATGTTTTATAAATGTTAAATTTAGCATTTTTTTAAAAAAAATATATCTTAGTTCAGTGATGGCGAACCTTTTAGAGACCAAGTGCCCAAACTGCAACCCAAAACCCACTTATGCATCAAGTGCCGGGTGGGTGTGGCCCACTGGCTGGGTGTCGCCAATTGGGGGTGTGGCCCATTGGGTGGGTGTGGCTGCAGTGGTAACGGCAGACTGGGTGGGACTAAAAAGTTCAATCAATCAATTCCAACTTTGCAAGATCTTTTTTTTACCCATCAAACTAAAAAACACTGGGCCTTAATAATCCCTTTAGGATGTGCTGCAGCAAGCTCCAATAACAACAATTAGGCTAAAGACTGCTCCAAGCCAAGTTCAAACATGTTTCCTCTGCAGTCTTTAGAGAATTGGTTTACCACTATCTTTTTTTCTAGGGTGTTTTTTCAATTTCCAGTCAGGGAACGGCTACAAAAAATTATTTTTAAAGTGAATTCTATATTTCAAAGGAACAATAATGGTTAGTGTACACACACACACACACACACACACACACACACACACACACACAATTTAAGGTAAATTATTTAGAATATCCTAAAAAGAAAAAAACCCTTGAAGATAATTATAGTCAAAGAACAAAAGCCAGACATATGTTTTCTGTTTCTCTCTTTGTTCAATGTTTCTTTTTGCATTAATCTGTCTGCTATTAATGAGAGGCATGTACTGCAGAAGAATCTGAACAGTACAAAAACTCTGCATGATAAATCTATTCACTTACCTCCTTGGAGATGGTGACTGAGATGATTTCCTTTTTGTGATTTTGGATGATCTAGGAGACTTTGAAGGACTTCGACTCTTCCTCTTCCTTCGATCTCTGTAAGATCCATTAATCAAAAATTGGAAGTCCAGTGGGAATTACTAATTTAATTAAGCTCAGGTTGCTCTATCATGTACATCTTAAATTGCAGTCAACCTCACCTATAAAGTTAGTTCAGTGCACATTTTGATTCAAAAGCAACAGTTACTGTTTTTATCCTTACCAGAGAAAAACAGAGAGCCTTCTATAAGCTGCTCTGGGTGCTTATTATGCTAAACCATAATTTGGCATAATGGCCCTGTCTATACAATTCATATAAAAATGTATTAAAACCTAACACAAGTCCAGTTGATTTAAAAGAAAACTGATGAGATATATTTTGAAGAACAAACACTTGCAATGCAGCAGAGGCTATTTACTTATCTGATGAATAACCAAATATATATAAGGCTGTGTATGGAAGTTTATTGCATGATTATATGAACTTCATGTGTAAATATCAAGACAAGGCAAGGGATTTGCACAAGAAAAATCTTGTCTTAGAAGTACCAAAGGTTTATTTCTGGAATCCTTCATATTTAACAGATCAAAGTACATGGTAATTGATTCATTATGTGGCCCTAATTTAATCCCTCCAGATATCAAATCTGAAGGGATTAAATAGGTATCAAATAAATCTTATCATTGTCTTAGTATGCACTAATGCACACTAAATATACTATTTACTACAATTTCAATTTTAAAGAAAATGAATTGAAGAACTTCAAAAAAAATCAAACCTGCTAGCACTACGTGATCTTCTTGAGGAACTATAGCTTCTAGGGGGTGTTTTAGATCTCTTCTCCTTTTTCTTTTTTTCATCTCTCTCTCTGTCTCGATCTCTTTCTTTGTCTTTTGCCTTCACCCCTTCTTTGTCTCTTTCACAGTCCCTCTCTCCCTCCTTTCCTTTATCTTTGTGTTCCTCCTTTTCTCTGACATATTCTTTGTCATCCTTTTTTTTGTCTCCTTCTGTCTCTCTCTCCTTTTCCTTTTCTCCTTCTTTGTCCAAATCTTCTCTCTTATCTTTTTCCATATCTGCTGCTTTCTCCTTCTCTTTTTCTTTCTCTTTCTCCTTCTCTTTGTTTTTTTCTCGCTCCTTATCCCTATCTCTCATTCGTTCCTTCTCTCTATCCTTGGTCTTCTCCTTCTCCCTCTCTCTTCCTCTATCCTTTTCTCTGCCTCTATCTTTTTCCCTGCCCCTATCCTTTTCTCTACCTCTATCCTTCTCTTTTTCTTTATCTCTGTCTCTCTCTCTAATCTTCTCTTTTTCTCTAATCCTCTCTTTGCTTTCTTTTCTCTTCTCCCTGTGGAAAGAAAATATTTATTAATTCATCTTATCCAATATTCACTGTAAGAGAGCACAAGTCAAGTAAACTCAATTCCTAAACTTGTCTTTTAACAGGGTGCAGCAATTACTGATGGCAGAAAAATTACAAAATAGCATCTAGCAGAGAGATAGAAAAATCAGTAAAGGAAAATAATATTATGCTAACTGATCTATCCTCATGCCATTTGTGGTGACCATTAAATATACAGCTGGATAACATACAATTATAATTCTATAGCAAGATGATAATATCAGAAATATGTGATAGTATTAATTATAGTAATCTCACCGAGAAGGAGAGCTGCTTCTTGATCTTTGGCGTTCTTTAGACTTTGAACGATTTTTGGATGGACTTTTGGATCTGCGTCTGTCCTTTTGACTAGAGCGTGATCTATCACGGGATCTACTCCTGCAACAAATAATTGTAGAGGCTAAATACTATAAATTATATTGGTTTTCTTCCTTGTTGCCTGCATTATTGTGCATTTTTTTTAAAAAAATAGAACATTCACAAATTGTTAAACAACATGAAAAGCCAAATAATATGTTCCAAACCCAATTTCAAAGCAAAAGGCAACTAAAATATTCAAAGCAAAAGGCAACTATTGTAAGAAAGGCAACAAATGATGATAATCTTATAATTTATCAGTTTACAAAAAGGGCTACAAAAGTTCTTCCAAAAGTACAACATAATAAAATAACATGCACAGCCAGTTCAAGGCATCTGAATTTAGTATTAATTATATATTGTAACACCCCTGTGTCTCCCATTTTGGGAAGGGGGCAAGGGAAGAGAAACTAACCTATGAAGCTTATTATGCCAATTTTAGCAATAATCCTTACAGCCATGCATGGGGAGAAGCTAGACTGCCTACTCCATCACAGGAGAAACTTCAATCATATGAGCAACAATGTGGATTGATGGATAAGAAGGAACAGAATTTAAGAAATACATTTACTTATTAATACTTCATGTTTTTAGTAAGGTCTTAAAATTTCAGTATATATTAATTACTGGATGTAAAAAAAATGGCTGGAGACAAATATGAATATTAACTAGGTGGCACTTTCTTGGGATGAATGCTATGGATCAAGACATATATTTTTCATAATCATTTCTAATAACATTATAATGGAAGCATTTTGGTATTCTCATATACATCTTTCTCATAATGTATTATTATGTTTGTGAAATCTGTGTCTAAAGAATTTTTGGATTTAAAAAAAACATTATATATTTATTATTACTTCTCAGGTTATCTACAACAATTTTACTTTTCAATCTTGACACACTTCTCATTTTTCTCTGTTTTTATTTTCTGTAGCATATATCACCACTATCACAATTTACACTACATTAAAATATTGATGCACAAAGAAGGCGCAATCTCATCTTGGTCCTCCTTGTTAGAACCCTCCTTCTAACTTAACCAAAAACTGAAAATTCCATTTGTCATCTAAATCAGTGCATTTTGATTTAACTTTCAGACCAGGCTGAATTTGTAGAAACAATTTTTATGTGTATGCAATCTTAGCACATTGGCAACAAGCAAGGAATTCATATCTGAATAAGAAAAAAGTTCCCAGTTCAGAATACTATAATAACGTCTAAGAAGAAGGACTGCAAGTTTTTCACCCATTGTGATAAATCAGGATTCTTAGTAATTTTATTCATGGCCACCATTCAACTTAACTTAGCACAAATTAAGAGAAAATTAATGCATTTGCTTTGCATGTGAAAATATTAAATTTCAATAATTTGGGTACCACCTCAGAGCTGCATAAAGATCTGAAAATTCATGCCATAATTTACTAGCTTCTTAAACTGGACAAAAGGATCTCAAAATACAAGTTCAGCTGTATCACAGTAATCCCTGTAACCCCTGTAATTCACGGCTCCATGAATTGGCAGCAGTGGCAGCAGAGATGGCACTAGCCGAGGGGATGGTTTTGTGTGAGTAACCTAATCCCACACGTGCACAAATAAAGCTTTGTGCGCTCGCCCGCTGCTTACGCAGCCCAGTTCCTAATGAGCCACGGCTGGGAACTGGGGACACCTGCCTTAGCTGACATAGGAGAAGACAAATTCACTGTAGATCTCAGAGAAGCCTTATGTAGAAGACTTACCTGCGTTTTGAGAGTGATCTTTTCCTTCGAGATTTTGAACTAGATCTGGATTCTGAACGTGAATGGGAACGTGATCGACCACCTTTTCTTTCATTGCTCTTTCCAGACTCTGAGAGAAAAAACGACTTTGCAGTGTAAGCTCAGAATATTTAAAGATCCCAGCTAACAATCTGGCACAAGTGGAATGTACCACATATATTGCAAGGGGCCTACTCTCTGCACATCTTCCTTCTTTGCAAAAATCCTTCAGAAACATCCAAGAAAGTCATTGCATATATTCGTTGAGTGCAGCCATCCTGCAGCAGTACACATAAACCAGATAATTATAAACAGCTAGCTAAATAAGGAATGGGATTTGTTGCTGCCACAATGCACAAGATTAAAACATGTTTGGTAAAATTGATTTCAGACAGAAAACACATAAAATCTGATAGAATTTTGAAAAACTATGCAGAAATGCACATGAATAGCACTGGAATTTTACTATCAAAGCATTGCTATAATTAGGTAGTTAATCCTCAAATCTTTAAGAACATAATGGACTCAACCTATATGAAAGGCAATAATTTTAGAACCAGAGTCAAGAAAATAAAATTTTGTTCATTCAGTTTTTATGTTATAGCTAATAACATGAAATGAAATGATAGACTGATTCATAATGTATGTTCATTACTATTCTACAAACTTAGTTAAATAGCTATGGTGTTTAAGGTCACTAATTTCAATGTGCATATTTTACATTGTTTATTGAAAACAGATTGACTAGATGTTAGCCATATCAAGAAAAACTACCAAGATAATCTGTATGAAGTTTTCTTTCATTTTTAAAAGTTATCCCATATTATTCAAATAAGGACAAGAATTTTAAGGGTCAGAATTTCTTTTTCTATGTAAGGTACTTAAGAAAATTTCATGGATTGATATTTGTTTCTTGGATAATCTGCCAACTACTTCAGTATTTTCATTACAAAATCAAGTTATCTCTAGACTTTGCCTGACACTTGTCTTCTCGTGTTCTGGTAAATGACTAATTTTAACTGCATGGATTATTTTAGTAGTTTTTATAAAAGCAAGTGCTGAATAGATGAATAATGCTAGTTTTGACCTTTTTCTAATTATTATAATTTTCTGATGATTCTGGATATTATTACTACTTCAATAAATGTAGAAGTATCCTCTAAATCTCAATACCTAAAAGTAAAAAAGCAGAACAACTGAGCACATTACTTATCTGCACTCAAAGAAAACATTGATGTTCCCAGGAAAAGTTATACTTCAACACAAAATAATGGAGCTGAAAACCATAATGAGAAAGAAGTCCAAAAAGAAAGAAAAAGATAGGGAAGCAGATCAGGCAGTAAGAAGAATGAAAAATCTGAAAGGAGAATTAAGGAGACCAGAGAATGGGCCAACAAAATAGTACTTTTTTTTAAACGATTAGAACTTATTCAATACTCTGACATTAAAAAGCAGTGCTATCAGGTACTTTAACTGCACATTTTTGATTATAAAGTACTAAACCACTCCTCAAAATTACTGAGTCCACCAAAGAATTCTGCCCAGGATAGCATCTCCCTGTTTCCTAGAAGAAGAAAAAATGCTTCACCAAATATACATGCCAGGAGTTATCCCAGTGGAAATACAGGGCAAGGAAAAGCCTACCTGGCTCAATAGCAGCTGATATAAAAGATTGAGCTTCCCGTACTCTCTTCATCACTTCCTCCAACTCCTTTGCAGCAGCTTGTGGTGTCATTTCAGGCGGCTTCACTATTGCATTATTGGAGTGATTTATTCTAAATTAAACCACAGGTATTATTTAGTTATTTCACTGCATCTATGCATATGCTTTATTTTATCTTTTTTTAAATTGTGCAATTGAGTAGAAAACGGACTCATTCTATTAGGTCACGAATGGTTTGGACTAGACTTCAAAACAATGAGTCTGACAGATAAAACTACTGATTTTTTTATCTTATTATTCCGTGAGGAATAATCAGTCTTTTTTTTTTTTGCATGTTATGATTAAAAGGGGGGGAGGGGTTAAAACTATCAAGAGATACATTTTACATAAAAGCCTGTCCAGTGGTGTCCAACTCTTGGCCACAGTGCTCATCTCTGTTTCTTAGCCGAGAAAGCCAGTGTTGTCCGAAGACCTTTTCTGTGGTCATGTGGCAAGCATGGCTATACACCAAAGGCGTACAGAACACCCATCAAAGTGGTACCTATTTATTTGCTTGCATTTTGCTTGCTTTCAAACTGTTGGGTGGGCAGGAGCTGGGCAGGAACAGGAGTTCACCCCATTGTGCAGCGCTCGGGTCTCAAACCCAGGCTGTCGGCTTTCCAGTTAAAACTCAGCATCTTTAACTGCTGAGCCATCAAGCCCCCCTCATAAAAGCCTATAGCTTTTAACAATTACTTACCTGTTTATTCCTCCTCTCAGCTGACAATATAGAAAACTAATTTGAAAAACATGGTACAAGATAGACCTGAGACCTGCTAGTAAAATATCTTTGAATTCAGATGTTTTTTTTTCTTCCCCTTCTGTCAAATCATAATCCCATAACTCCTTAATCCTTTCCATCACTCTCTAATTTAACTAGATCACATCTAATTCTTTTGTTACATTATTGCTCTCCTAAGCTTCCTTTTCTCTCCACCTTCTTAATTTCCTAAGAATGCATGCAGATCTATCCAAAGCCCAGAGGCACTTGTACTATCAAGATACAATTTAGCTTCAGCTTACTGCTTCCTTTTGATGAGATCCAAGCAAAATATTAAATTAGCATAACATTTTAAATTTTATTAGATATTAAGAGAACACTTCTTGAATATAAAAGAGAATGTGGGAATGATGTTTGTGGCCAATTGCCTATCCCTGTACAAATACAAAAATGAAGCCTCTGATCTGATTTTTCAAAATATGCCTTTATTCTCTAAATTAAATTAAAGAGACATCTAAGTTTTACAGCATTTAACATGGTGCTTTCCAGAGAGCCTACAATTTCCAAGACTCTCAATCAGTACAGTGAATTGTCTAAGATCTCTAGCACAGAACAGGACTCTATCAATGTAGTACAGAACTGGGTCTCAATTTAGCAGCTGCCTTTATGAAAATATAATATATACATAGTGGAAGTATTCTCTCAGGTTTTCATAAAAACATCTTGCCATTCACATTTTATGAAATATTTATAGTTGGAGATGGCAAGTGTGAACTTCAACTTCCCACAGGCCGACCAAATTTTCTATGCTAAATCCCCAACTTATAAGTTGGGCTTCTGTCCAAAGGCTATTTATTAACTAATTATAGCAAATGTATTGTTTCATTTTGAGTAAAGTCAATGAGTTACCAATAAAAACATTTGCATTTTCCCCATAGACATACAGCAGAACTATTTGTTAAGCGTGTGCAATATATTGCTTAAGTAAACCCATGGGACTTGCACAAATTTTGTGGAAATGCATATGAATTTTCCTATGAAGAATATGTATGTATATATTATGCTAGAAATAGGCAACCTAATACTCTCCAGATGGTTTGGACTACAACTCTTTCAAACTCTTTCCATTCTGGCTAATGTTGTTAGAAATTGATTATAAAAGTATGTTTTTCTTACTTCAATGGTCTGTCTCCAAACACAACTCCATTAAAGGCAAGAGCTCTAGGTACAGAATTCTGGTCAGCAAATTCCACAAAGGCAAAGCGTGTTGGCTGGGTTTCATCACCTGCCATCCGCACAAACTTAACTTCTCCAACTTGCTTGAAAAACTCAAGCAACTGATCAGCTGTTGTAGTCTGAGGGGAAAAAAAGCAAACAACTCAAATTAAAAATAACTTGTATTTGATTCTGCTTATTCTGATCATGCCAACTACAATGTTAATATCTGTCACCATAATGGATCTGCAAATGAACACTATCTTGAATACCAATGAAAACTACATCTTGAATACCAATATTAATAGCAAGAAATAACACTTTTATTTCCATGATTTCTAAATAATAACACCTTAAAGATCTTGTTTAAATTTATCTGACTTATAAGCATGGAATTTTCTAATTGTCTGGTTATCGCAGAATGAATGACAACAATGATTATTTGGTGAGTATCTCCTTTAAAAATATGAGTGTATGTGTGTGTGTGTGTGTATATATATATATATATATAGTCAATTACCAATAAAACGTGAACACCAGGAATATAATAAACTATAAAAGTTTAAAACCATCACCGATCACCAAGCTTTCGTCAGATACTTCTGACATCGTCAGGGTTAATGCTGGTCTGTGGGAGAGTGCCTTTATAGGTGAGCCATCATTTGCACACGGCTCCTAGATCTTGTCGTAGGTCCTAATTGATTTAACTGCTTTTTAATTATGGCTTCCATACTGATGACTCCTCTTTTCTTGCTTTTACTGCTTGTGGGTGTGTCATTATTCCCCTCTACCTCCCACTGTCTTGAATTAGGGAGGTTCTTTCCTCCCCTTTTTTGGTCATTTGTATCTCTAAGTTGTTCCCTCTTCACACCTCCGTGTCTCCTACTTTCCTCCTTCTTCTGATCTTTACTTGCTCCCCAATTGTCATCCCTCATTCTATGGGGGCGCACTCTCAGCCTTTCTCCCCATCCCTTGCTTTCCATTTCCCTCTTTGGCTGCATAAACTCCGTTTCTGTCATTGCCATTCCGTCTGACATCTACTTGCTCTTTCACCCCATTATCAATGTTCTCGGACTCCACGTCAGACTGAATCCCTTAAATATCTCCTTCCTCCTCATACAAGCCCTTGTGTGCCCTCCTTTTTTGAATACGTATGCCTGGTTCCTTTGTATCCCTCCCTCCATCAACACAGTGATCTTTTTTACAGTTTCTATCATGTTCTACCCTTATTTGCATTTCCCCCCCATTCACACTGCTCTCTCTCTATATTCTCTCGGGCGTTCCGATTGGCGCTCTGTTGTTTCCGTTGATGGACTGTCGTCACAGGGCAAGCCGGTCCCATCCTCCTTCTTTCTTGATGCTGCTGGATCATCACTGTTTTGGGTTTCAGGGGGTCAGGAATGATTGTTCGTTGGTTAATTGCCTCTTTCTCATTATGCAAGCGTTCTCTCACTGTCTGGAAGCGTGTGCATGTCTGGAAGCGTGTGCATGTCTGGAAGCGTGTCCTGGAGCAAAGGGGGAGAAGTCCCTCAATCGTTGACTATTCTCCTGAATGTCCATGGGCCGTTGCTGTTGTTGTGGGGGGTGAAAATTCATCCCCTCCATAACTTCTTCCCTAGGGTTACGTGGTACTGTCGCAGGGTGTCTCCTTAGGGATGAATTTTCACCCCCCACAACAACAGCAACGGCCCATGGACATTCCTGGTGTTCACGTTTTATTGGTAATTGACTATGGATTCACCCAGGAGAGAGAGAGAGAGAGAGAGAGAGAGAGAGAGAGAGAGAGAGAGAGAGAGATCTCCTGGGTGAATATATCCTGGGTGAATCCATAGTCAATTACCAATAAAACGTCATAGTCAATTACCAATATATATATATATCCTGGGTGAATCCATAGTCAATTACCAATAATTGAAATATATATATATATATATATATGTATATATGTATATATGTTTTCGCGGGTATTTGTATGAGGGTCTTTGGTTGTTCGGGTTTTCTCCCGCGTAAAATTGGAAGTGTCTTGGCGACGTTTCGACGAAGTCCCATTCGTCATCTTCAGGCTGGTGTTTTCAGCTTCGTGCTTTGAGCAGCAATGTGTGCTCTTAGCTGTTTCTTCCTTTTAACTGCCAGTGGGGGTATGAACTGATTGGGTGGGAGCTTGGACTGTGTTCTGATTGGGTGGAGGTGTGTTCTGAATGGTTAGGGGCTTGGCTGTGCTCTGATTGGCTGGGGGAGTGTTCTGTTTGGTTGTGCTCAGGTTAGTCTGAGTTGCAGAGGGGTTTAAGATTTTGGGCTGCCTTGCTATTTTTTGGCTTCGCGTTCGTGGTCGTGTCCTCTTCATGGAGGGTGTCAGTTTGCTTCATGTATGGATTGGAGGGGTTTAAAGTGGCTAATGATGCAGCTGTGGTCTGGCTTCTGGTTTGTGGTCGTGCCTCGTCATCGGTGTGGCTTTGGGTTTGTTTTTTGCGTGGATGTGTGGTGGTGACATCCTGTGTGGTTTTTGTGAGTGTGGGTCTGGTATCATTTTTTGTGTTAGGGAGTCGTTTGTCAATAAGGGCGGGTTTCCAAATGGCTGGTAGGCGGGAGGTATCATCTCACTTGTTCATGCTGTGTGGGCGTTTTTCTATCTCGATGGCTTCTCTGATTATTCTGTTATTAAAATGTTCACTTTTGGCAATGGTTCTGGTATTTTTAAAGTCAATTTCATGTCCTGTGGCTTTAAGGTGTTGGACCAGGGAAGATGTTGGTTCCTCTTTTTTGACTGAGTTCTTATGTTCTTCAATGCGTGCACTTATTCTTCTGTTGGTTTGTCCGATGTATGTGGTGGGACAAGTGGTGCATGGGATTTCGTATACTCCTTGATTTTCTAATTCAATTTTATCTTTGGGGTTTCTAAGGATGGTGGATATTTTTCTGTTTGTGCAGAATGCTGTTTTGATGTTGTGTTTATGGAGGATCTTACTGATTCTGTCTGTGGTGCCTTTTATGTATGGGAGGAGGGCTTTGCCGTTTTCTTGTTCTTTGTCTTGGATTTTAGTGGGGGTTTCTTTTTGGATTAGGTTTGTAATCTTATTTCTATGGAATCCATTGGATGTTAGTACATTGGTGAGAGTGTGTAGTTCGGGTTTTAGGTGTTGTTCGTCAGCTAAGTGTTTTGTTCTGGAGATGAGTGTCTTGGCTACAGAGTTGATCTGTGCTGGGTGGTGGTGTGAGAGAGCGTGCAGATAGCGGTTTGTGTGTGTTTTCTTCTGGTAGATGGTGTGTCCTAGGGAGCCATTGGATTTCTTGTAGACTAAGACATCCAGGAAGGGAAGTTGGTTGTTAGTTTCTGTTTCCATGGTGAACTGTATTTTGGGGTGTAGGCTGTTGAGGTGTGTGAGGAAGTTGTCCAGTTTTTCTTTCCCATGTGGCCAGATTATGAAGGTGTCGTCTACGTATCTGAGCCAGAGTTTGGGTTTGTGATCCGATTTTTCTAGAGCTTGGGTTTCAAAGTGTTCCATGTACAGGTTGGCAATGACAGGTGAGAGGGGTGATCCCATGGGTGCTCCTTGTGTTTGTTTGTATTTTTGTCCATTATAGATGAAGTATGTGTTGGATAGGCAGTGGTTGGTCAGATCTAAGATGTGTTTGGGGGGGTTATATTTGTTTTGAATAGCTGTCAAGGCTTCTTTGATAGGCACTTGGGTGAAGAGGGATATGACATCGAAGCTCACTAGTAGGTCGCTGGGCTGTAAGTTTTGTTTCTTTATGATCTCATCCAGTTTATAGCGAGATGATACCTCCCGCCTACCAGCCATTTGGAAACCCGCCCTTATTGACAAACGACTCCCTAACACAAAAAATGATACCAGACCTACACTCACAAAAACCACACAGGATGTCACCACCACACATCCACGCAAAAAACAAACCCAAAGCCACACCGATGACGAGGCACGACCACAAACCAGAAGCCAGACCACAGCTGCATCATTAGCCACTTTAAACCCCTCCAATCCATACATGAAGCAAACTGACACCCTCCATGAAGATGAGGCACGACCACGAACACGAAGCCAAAAAATAGCAAGGCAGCCCAAAATCTTAAACCCCCCTGCAACTCAGACTAACCTGAGCACAACCAAACAGAACACTCCCCCAGCCAATCAGAGCACAGCCAAGCCCCTAACCATTCAGAACACACCTCCACCCAATCAGAACACAGCCAAGCTCCCACCCAATCAGTTCATACCCCCACTGGCAGTTAAAAGGAAGAAACAGCTAAGACCACACATTGCTGCTCAAAGCACGAAGCTGAAAACACCAGCCTGAAGATGACGAATGGGACTTCGTCGAAACGTCGCCAAGACACTTCCAATTTTATGCGGGAGAAAACCCGAACAACCAAAGACCCACATACAATAAAAATATGATCCCTGGGTATATCCATATTTAAAACCAAACAAATATGGGAGGAACACCGAGAGTGGAGGGGAGAGAGTGGTGAAGACTGATGCTCCTGATTGCCGTACAGAGAACATCCAGGGCGAGTTGGTTAAAACTAGGATGGAATGTATAAAGATCGGAGATAAAGAAAGGAGACGCCTGGGGGCAACAACTACCAGATCGTACTCAAAAAGGGGAGAAACAGCCTCATTAGCATGTTTGGGGAATACGACCCGCCCACCCCACCTCGCAATGCCAATCTGCCCGTATCAACAGGCAACACGGAAGAGCCCTCAAGGCGGCACCGTGCAAGCAAGGAGCAAGGAGGAAACAAGGGGTGTGATAGCAATTAACTTGAATAACATCTGCGGAGACCATGATTGGGGAAAACACAAAGAAAATAAGAGACAGTGCGTTGCAACGGGGCAATCAGAACGGAGTGGGGAAAGGGGAGGATGGAGGGGTATAACTAAACAAAATGGGTGTGGCAATAAAGCAAAAAAAGAGAGGGGGGACGTTCCATCAAACCCCGAATTTGGCAAAGAGAAAACATCCGATGACAGTTACACAAGCAAGAAATGCAAGAAAGCAATTATTGCTAATGAGAAACCGGCAACTGGGAAACAGCCTATTCCAGCAGGCCCAATGACAAGATCTAGGAGCCGGGTGCAGACTCTGGCCAATCTATAAAGAGGACTCTCCCACTGACCGGCATTTTGAGCCCTGATGATGTCAGCAGTTGCTGACGAAAGCTAGGCGTTTTATTGGTTTTGTTGTAATTTTATTGACATTTTACCAAATTTTATTAAATTTTTTAGCACTCCCTGGTGCTCACATTTATTTGTTTGGTTTTATATATATATATATATATATATATATATATGTATGTATGTATGTATGTATGTATGTATGTCTTTGGTTGTTCGGGTTTTCTCCCGCGTAAAATTGGAAGTGTCTTGGCGACGTTTCGACGAAGTCACATTCGTCATCTTCAGGCTGGTGTTTTTAGTTTCTTGCTCAAGAAACTAAAAACACCAGCCTGAAGATGACGAATATGACTTCGTCGAAACGTCGCCAAGACACTTCCAATTTTACGCGGGAGAAAACCCGAACAACCAAAGACCTATATACAAATACCCGCGAAAACCTCAGAAAACAAATATATAATATATATATATATATATATATATATATATATATATATATATATATATAGAGAGAGAGAGAGAGAGAGAGAGAGAGAGAGAGATTATATAATCTAATAGTCTTTTTGAAATTGTTATAATTTTATAACTTTATAATTTTAACATTTTTAATCTTAAATCAAATTTAATATTTTAGTTTTAATTTTATATACTGTTTACATGCTGATTTTATACTGTACAACGCCCAGAGTCTTTCCTTGAGGGAGTAACTGAAAGAGTCATATGGGTGATGAGAAGTTCTATATATGCTTAAGATAAAGTCAAGAGAACACTTAACTATAGCAAGATTTTGTTTTCAATGTTTCTCATATGCACAATTAAAAGAAAGATTTAATACAGATAAAACAGCAATGGAGACTGAATAACTTAATATGGAATCTGAAACCGAATTGTGTACAAATAAACATGTGATTGCAAAAATGTACAAACTTTGTTGAAATTTAAAACTGAAGAGGAACAAGTCAAGGATTACATAATAAAATGGTTACAATATACAGATGGGTCAATGGGAGAGAGTGGAGATAAAGAAACTAAAATTTACAGTATATAACACTTTAAAATAGATTTTTAATAATCTATATTGCTCTTAAAATAACAGAAAAATAAAAAGCAAAATAAAATAAAATAAAATACATATATTATAAAAAATAACAAGTGCTTAAAAAGTGGAAATATACATGAAAAATAAAATATAGCATTAGAACAAGTTATTCTACATACATTATCTAATAAACAATATATCTATAAGCACATATACTCATATATGCTTATTTAACCTACTGTAACCTACTCTAGTGTGTATAAGGGGATGCCATATTTCCTTATATTTATACATACAAAGTCCACGTCTATAGGCAATCCGCTCATAAGTAATTTAAGATACAATTTTTACAGAATGATGTACCAGTAGTATTTGACACCAGAGAATTTATATAACATGTATAAGACATCTAGTCAATGTGAAAATGAGATGTTACTGTTTTTTCAATGCTCCGTTTTATTGATTTTGCTATCTATTGGATTGTTTTAGTTTGGCTGTCTATTTGATTAAATATTTTTAGCTGTTTTTATGTTTTCTCTAGAGTTTTATATGTCGCAAAGAGTCCACTGGAGTTGGGTGGCAAAAAATAGAAAAAAAAAGTGTGTATGTGGGGACAAATACATGTAATAATGCATTATCCTCATAAAGATCAGATTGGCTTCAACTTTGTCAGTCTAGCCTAAGACCTTAAAAACTTGGTTTTGCCCTGGACCTAGGAGTGAATCCATGGAGTTGAGCCCAGATATTGGTTATGCATCTATTTTTAACCCAGCTGTTGTTTTATATGTTCCATTTGGGGGGGAGGTGTTCTATTTTTGTATTTTTTTAATACTGTTAACCATCCAGAATCATGAATTTGAGATGGGCAGCCATGTAAATTAAAATAATACATAAAAGAGTGCTATATTGGTGCATTATTAGAGCTGCCACTTAGCAACAGCAGTTCTGACGTCAGAACAGCCATCATTAAACAAGGACCATATGAATCGTTATGCAAAGATCTCATGTCACTGTGACTTCTGACTTAACAGCTTTCCCAGACTTTGCTTGCGTGAAAGACCAAGGTAACTGGATCTGATGGAGAGAATGTAGCAAACTGCAATTATACACAAGTGACAAAATAAGCAGCTATACTTTTTATTAATGTATTCCTCTGTAACAGAAATGTTTACCTGGGAATTCAGGTTTCCAACATATACAGTCCTTCTAATTTCATCAATCTTGGAAGGATCCACATTGCCCATAATAGGTGGCTGGGGTATGTCTCCAATGGCTGTAATGTTATGATCCAATGATGTTGCTGGTATGGCTCCTAGTGGACCAAGGGAAATTCCTATCTGTAAATAGAAAACAGGGAATATAGAAACAAGCATGGGGTCTTTCTTCTTCTTTGGATCAATAAAAAAAATTAAATTATTTAAAAATAATTTAAAAATTATCTGAAAACACTATAAAGATACTATAAAGTACATCTTCAGTTTTAAAAAATAAAGGAATAATTCTTTTGACTTCTGGGCAATAAGGCAATATTCTTAGCAGAAAAGCTTGTACAAAGATTGAATAATAGAAATACTGCAAAGCTTCAATCTTTTTAAAGCCAGAAACTTTAGCAGCTTTCTATGCAAGACGGTACTAATCTGTAAAAATTCTAGCTTTAACATTACTTTTTCTTTCTATTTTCTTCTGGTCCTCTTTGCTAATATAGGCTTCTGGTGAAGTCTAAATCTTGCTATATTAAGGATTTTGGTTTATCCTAATGCCCCGCTTTGGATTTTAACACATTAGATTGTGTAAAAGCCATCCCTACCATGGACCACTTACCAAAAATGTAGCTGAACCAGCTGCATTATTACATCCAGCATTACTTACTGAAGTCACAGGAGGTGTTGGTATAGGAAGCAACCCTCCACCAGGAATCAGACTTGTCATTGTTGGGGCAGGAGCCAAGAGAGAGAGGGCTTTGGCTTCATCTGGAATTTTACCTGAAGAGCAAAATGATTTTGTTATCAAAAGTAAGGCAACCTTTCAAATTTTATTCTTCTATTTACTATTTCCCTTCAACTTAAATATAATAAAGAAAAAAAAACTACTACAGCCTTTTAAAAAAGCAAAACAACACACGTTTTTCTTTCCCCTACTCCACTAGGAACAGTAAGTGAGCAAAACTACTATCTCATTACCGGATTTTTACTTTAAAAACTGAACAATGAGTAGATAATTATTTAACACTTTGAGCTATGGGTCACCTGTACTGGAAACTTAATGTTCATGAACCAAACGATATCAAGCATGGACGCTTTCGCAGGACGTTGTTTCACGGTGATCGAAAGGTGTGTTACACATGACAACCGTTCGTGTTGGCTGCATCACTAATAGCACACAGAACATCAGATACAGAAAAGAAGAACATTTTTTAAAGTTTAATCCCCAGAAATGGCAAATAACCAAATCAGTCAAAAAGAAAAAAGAGGAAACAGGAGTGTGCTAAGCAATAGCTGGCCTTTTCTTCTGCTGAAAGTGGCTGTGAAAAATATTGCCAGTTGATCACCAGTTGTCAATCTAGTACAACAAATCAAGCAAGGCAAGAAACATAATGATTTGTAATGTAAGTACTTTGACCTAACAAGGCTCACAGTTCTGTAGCATTATGAGGGATAGTGTAATCTAGTCTTTACAAAAATATTTACTTGATCACTGACACAATGTTTGTTATATCTGCATAGTGTCAGTGCAACAGATGACTGTTGTTTTTATAAGATGACAAGGAGATTTTGTCTCTTACTATACATATTTAGGGAGCAAGGCTTACCTCAATAAAATTGCTCAAGTTCTTAATTCAGAAATGCTTCACATTACGGATTGAAAATCAGGATAAAAATACTTTAAATAATTAAATAAAAATTATTTTGCACTATGGTTATCCATATTTAAATAATGGATTACTACTGCATTGATCTTTACTGAAAGGATAACCAATTTATACTACTCTTAAAATGCTTTACACCAGCCAACTATTGTATTTGTGGATTATGCCCAAACAATCCAAAAGTAAATATTTCAAGCACAGACTACTAAGCCAGATATTACACACTGAAGATGGCAAAGTATTCTGCCAAGGAGTCACCAGTCTGAAGTAATTGTTACTTATTAAGAGTAAGTATAAGAATTTAAGTCAATCTGGCCTCACAGAGATCCATTATCTAGAATTATAATGGCATTTATAATAAGAAAAAATACACAGTATTTTTTATTATTTATTTAATAATTATTTATTATTTAATCACCAATTAATCCACTAATGCTATAATGTTGATGTTCCATTAAAAAGGCCAAAGATATGATGTAGATAACAATGCAGATCTCCATATTAAGCTCAAAAATGTTATTCCACTTCAAAAAGGGGAAGATGTTTCTGATATTAAAAAGCTGCCTGAAGATCTACATTAAATTTTCTGACAATTTGAGTTTTTGAAGGATATAATTTAAAGCTTTTTATATATAAAAGTTGAAACACTGCAGACTTTGGCTGAGAGGAAAGAATAGACCAGCAACATAAAAAACATATTACAGTTTCACTTGATTGAATGGATTTAAAAATAATAGGATCTTGACTGAAATGGTAAGTAGACTGCATTTAAATGAAAGTATTTCAACCCAATTCCCTATCATTCTATAGGCCTATAGAATTCAATTGCATTCCAAATTAAATGCTTATAAACTGCAGTCTTCCATGGCTGTATCTAACTGGGATTTCCCCTACTGATAAAAGACATTTTAATCCAATCGAGGCATCCATCAGTCAAAAAGCGAAGTAACTAATTTTCAATGGTTTCCCTCACCCCTGTAAATTTCCTCATTCCTGGAAGCAGTATGGGAAATGATACAGAGAAGTGAAAAGTCATAAAGTAGCTTCTCTCACTTAATTAAGGAATTTTTGATCAGTGGGTGGCCACCAAGTAAATATAACAGCATAGCAACTTATAGTAAATACCTAACTTTCTAAGCTATCATACCTACATGATACTAATTTACTAGAAAACAAGCCTTCTTTTAAAAAGCAAGAATATGAATATCTATCTTCAAAACTAAAGAAAATAAAAGATTTTTTTAAAACATCTGCTAAATATAGACTTACATCCAGAAGTTTTATTTCAGTAAACTATTCCAGACTAAATCTAACTGCATGATTTCGGTGTAATCATAAAAAGGTAACGATGAAAATTCATAAAAATGTATTTCAATAGTTATTTTTGCAAAGAACTCCTTAAGTGCACAACACTCAGCACTGGTGATGGCTCAAATGACACTTAAAAGCAATGATGTAAAGCATGGAGATGCACAAAACAGTTTTTACTCAGAACTAGACTGTGTTATTTTAAACTGATTAGTAACTCTACCTACTACTTTCAATCTGTGTAATTTAATTGTCAATTTAAAGCTTCTATCAAAAGTTTTAGCCCCTTACTTTAGGCCATCTTTATATTTCTAAATAATTTGTAGCTCTAATATAGATCCTGCTGGTCCATTAGATCAATCAAAATTTCTCATAAGATTTACTGCTAATTATGTAACTCCCTGTTTATTCATAAAACTATCAGATCACAATAAAATATTTTTATTTAAAGAAAAAAGATATGCAAAACTATGATAAAAGATGCCAAAAATAATTTGTGAACTCTCATCCCTGTTGCAAAAAAAAGAGTAACAAAAGGTATCGTTCTTGGAAAGTTTCTGTAGAAAATATTCAAATTCTATGTGTCTGTTAATCCGAGATAGACTGTCATAATCATGTGCCAAGATGCAAGGAAAAAAAAAATAGTGATGCTTGTCACCTTCTCACAGAATGCTACAGTGAAGAGAAGACAATATACAAAACAAACACTGGTCAGCACAAAGTTATTTTGAGTATTCCCTAATTTTTTTTAGATTTGTTACAGAAATTAGTATATTGAATACCAAAATTAAATAAATAGAAAACCTATTAGTCCTGAAATAACATTAGCCTTCTTGACATTTATCATATTACCAATATATTTATATACTCTGCAGTTCAAATCTCAATGGGAAATCTCAACAGGCTTCCATAAAATTTAGACATGAAGAAGAACATTTGCTCAAATACATATTTTGAAAAGTAACAGAGAGATTCAGGGTGGGGGCATAGGGATAGAAAAGTTTCTGAAGACATTTCAGAAGAAATGAACACTTCAAAACTAAGTCCAAATAAAGCAATAATATAGAAGCTGAATTATATGGAGATAATATAAACAATTTGATCACTTCATTTGATAATCAACATAGTCCTAATTAAGATAAATTATTTCCACTGATTTCAAATTTTATAAGCTTAAAATTGCACTTACAGTTTAAATGCAAAGTCTAAACTGACTTTAGAATTATGTCAGCTCTTACTGACACAGTATTAGTTCCACAGGATAAGTTTAAAATGAGTTATGAATTCCTATAACAGAACAGCATTTTTACAGAACTGAAAAACCAGTTCACAAGTAGAAACAAAAGAATTACAGCAAAAAAGGGACAAAATTAAAAAAAAGAAGAAGAAAAATAAAGCAAAACAAAATAATAAAACAGAGACAGGGCGTCCATCTTCTGCAGGCCAGACTCCGTTCTCATTTCCCCCCTGAAGTTGTCACTTGGCGGCAGGTTTAGTGGCATGGCAAACAATGCCTAATTCAGGCAAGTGTAACAGGTCTGCCTTGGCCAGTCTAGTCATCTAATAATGCACAAATATCACACAGAGAAAACATACAAAACCAAATTAATAGTCAAAATCCATCTACCAGAAAATGTGGACATAAAGTTTAGAATGATGATTAAAGGTGGTATCAGATGTATTTCAATCTTGTCTTCTCTCAAAGTAGATCAAAGTCAGAGAGAAATCTTAAATACACATAAAATGAGAAGGGGACCATGCATTTTGACAATGTGATGTTTCATTGTATCCAAAATCACAAAGTTAGTCATGAAGTATGAATTATGTATTTGACATCATTTTTAATATTCAGTGAAGCCATTGCCATGCAATGCTGAGAGTAATACCCTGACAGACAAGATGAACATTTTAAAAAAGTCTCAACATTCTTCCCTCCCCTTGTCTTTTTATGTCTGGATTTTGTACAATAATAAATTCATAAATATTAGCTTTCACACCATTTGGATTTCCCAGTAGAGAGTAGATCAACAGAGCACTTGTGCTCTACATCCTATGTAACTCTCCACTTTTCATATGAAATCCAAGGGAGCTGCTGAGTTTGCTAATATACAAGCCTACGGATTTGATCTGAGCTTTTCACTTTAATAAAACCGTATGAATCACTTGTAATTAATCTCAAAATTTAAATAATTAAGACATTATATTTACCCAGCACTGACTGCAGAGGAATAGCTTTGCATACTTACTTTGGAATAGCTGCTAATAAGCTTACTTTTAGTAGGCTTATTGGTAGAATAATCCTTCCTAATCCAAGTATCTTTCCACTGTGTTCAATGAATTCCTCAAATTCTCAGCCAAAACAGCTGGCTAAAAATTCTATTAATTGAAATTTAACATATCTGGGAAGTACAAAGTTGGGAAGATCACCACATAAATTCAGAGGTTTGGAAAAAAGAATTTACTCTGGAGGAGGGAGTAAATGCCAACGATTGCTGCAATCTCTTCAATTGTTTTAAAAGTATTGATTTTGTATCCCTTGCAGTTAAATTGGTAAATTATAGACAAAATTCAAACTGATAGATTATATGCATAATCCTTGATGTAATCTCATTGACTTTATACCACATAATAGGGAATGCATTTTTAAAAAATCTAATAACTCGTTGACGGAGGAATTATAACTTATCTAAGTGCTATTGTAATATAAATGACTTTGCTTTCTGTTAACTCATCTTATTATTGAGCCAAATATACCGGTAAAGGGAGAGTATAGAGCTAAAGAACACCACTAAATCCTCTGCATTTGTCTAGTAGCAAAATACTAAAGTTAGTAAAGAGAGATTTTTCAATTGGAGAAATCTGTGTCTTTCTGAGCTGCTTTTTGCATAATAACAAGCAGAAGAACAGAAATTGTCTTTTCATATGCTCTTCTACTCCAGGCATGGAAACTCCACAGCTACATGAGAGAGATATGGTATATTCTCTTATCCTTATTAGAAATCAAATATGGTATATTCTCTTATCCTTATTAGAAATCAAATATAAAAATACAAGCAATATTATAATTTAGATCAGAAGTACAAATTAATATATTAAGACTAAAAAAATTCAAAGATGTACAATATGTAACCTTTGATAACTATGCTTATTTAATGAAGCTACTCCAATATATTGTTGTAGACAAAGGGAATGAACACAATAAAGCAGTATTTTTAAATATTTGCTCTTCCTGAATAAACCATATAAAATATCAGTACAAACAAAATGAATTAGTAAAAACCACATAACTTAACTTACTAATACTTTTAAGTCATCATTCTTATCAGACAATTTTGCTTTTAAAACGAAAATAAAGATTTGTAATACTCTCTATCCAAATATGTCCACATTTTTGCACTAGAAAAAACCTGTTACTTAAAACAGAACTTTTCCACATTGTGTTCCCTGAAGTCAAAGTATATAACTGCATTATAATTAACATATTCCATTCTATATATAGTGATAATTGGTTATAATGGTAAAAGCATCAGGCTAGAAACCAGGAAACTGTGAGTTCTAGTTTCAGTTCAGGCACAAAGCCGGGTGGGTAATCTTGGGCCAATTCCTTTCTCTCAGCCCTAGGAAGAAGGCAGTGGCAAACTACTTCTGAAAAACCTTGCGAAGAAAACTGCAGGGCCTTCTACAGGCAATGAGAATTAAACACGACTGAACGGAAGGAAAAAAATCTGTATATATATTTGCTTTATTTTCTTCACGATACTTAATCAAAGAGTTCACAGAATTAAGTTTATCAAGAATTGTGACAAAATTATAAGAAAAGCAAATAAAGATGTAACAGCACCAACAGATACTTTTTTGATATTTGTATTTTAGCAAATAATCTTCCACAGCCCAAAGAGCTATGAATCTAATTTAAAACAAAAATAAAAAATGGACTTCATAAAACAAACTTTCAGATTACACACAGGCCTATCAAGGGAGCTTCCCATTCTACAGTCCTTCATTAAAATGATAAACAAAAACTATATTAATTGGATAAAGACATTACAAAAGAAAAATGGAAAAAATAAACAAGTGAGAGAAACTGAAAGTGTTCCAGTAACAAAAGAGCCAATAGACAGGCTGCGTAGAACTGCTCAGATGGTTTCTGGAAAGCAAAAGTTTAGCATAAGCTAACAATGCTAAGATCAACAGAAAGGACTTTTTTAGATATGTTCACAAAAAATAAAAATGAAGATGGCAAAATACTAACAGATAAAGTAAATACAATTAGTTGTTTTTTTTTCAATGAACAAAAGAATTTTGTCAAGAAATTATGAAAAGCAATAGGCTGAGATGCTTTAATTTGGAGTTGTACTCAGTAACCTAAATGAACCCTTTAAATTCTGTGGTTGAAGCTTGGGAATAACAGAAACATAGCCGGGGATTATCTTTTTTAATTTTGAATGAGTTTAAATTTCCAGGGCCAGGTGAACTGCATGCTAGGAAATAAGTAATTGTCTTGAATTCCTTGAGAACTGGGCAAGTGCCAGATGACTAGAGGAGAGACAATAATGTCCCTATCTTCAAAGAGAGGAAAAAGATTCAGAAAAGTATGTGCCAATCAGAGTGACATCAATACTTAGGAAAATTTTGGAGAAGAAGATAAAGAAATTAATTTGGAAAAATATACTTACTTACTTACCAAATGTTAGTATGGACAAATCTTGTCAAAGTAACCTTATGTCATTTTTGACTGAGTACTTCTTGGACACATTTTGGGAATGCTGTATATTTATGGCACAAACATTTCAACAAGTAACTCATGACATTATTAGCAAGATAGTTAAGTAAGGACTGGGTGACAATTAAGTGGACACAGCTGGGTCAGAAATTATACTCAGAAAATGCATATTGATGGTTGCTCATCAAATCAGAGAAGTATCATACAGAATGCCACAAAGATCAGTCTTGTGTCTTCAACTCTTCAATATTTTTATTAATCACTTGGATGAAGAAAAGAAAATGCTTCTAAAATTTGCGGAGAACATAACACAATGAGCTAGCTAATGCCTCCGAAGTCAGTACTAAAATAAGCAATGAACTTGAGAGATTTGGGAAATGGTCTAAAAGTAAGAGAATAAAATTAATCAGAAATAAGTGCAAAAACTTTTTTTAGGAAACAACCATTAAATGTACAAGCATATGATGGAAAATATATAGCCTGGGAATAATACTTATAAAAAGGCAAAAATAATCTGCCTGAATCATGGCAAATACTATTTCTATTTCTTTCTGTTTTGATTAGAATAGTTTAGTACTTCAAGGAGGATTCAAAGAGAGAAGAGCAATAAGGAACTAGAAACTAAATAATACGAAGTGATATTGCAAAGATTGTACATGCTTAGACTTGAACAACTGAGGGAAAATATGATAAAACTCTTTAAATATTTGAAGGGATGTTACAAGAAATCAAATCAATTCTCTCTCATTCCAAAGGGTAAATAACCAAAAAATTATTTTTAAATTTCACAAAGGCAGACTTTGACTATTGGAAGAAACTCTGTAACAGCAAGAGCAGTTCATGAAAGGAACCAGATGCTGTTAAGTCTACATTTTTAACTGATTTATAGAGAACAAAAGGCTGAGAATGTAAAGGCTGCAACTATCCTCCCTGAGGGAGATGGGCAGTCTAGAAACATAAAAAAATGGCAATGCTGAAACCAGTGGTGCCCAGCCTAGACAGAACCATTATAGCAAAAGTAACTCAGCCACCTCCAAGGGACATTTGTATCCCACCAAATAATTTTAATTCAGAAGGGAGATAATATATGCCTAGAGTTTAAACCCTGGAGCATAGCTGCTATAAGGTTGCAGTGGGCAATCAACTGTTGAGTTTTGAAACATGCTGTGCCTTCACTGAGTGCCATTTCACTTGTATCCTCAGTTTTGAATTATTTATATTTTTGTTCAAAATCCCACCTTTTAACTTTTGCCTGAATAATTAGAATTAAATTAAATTAAAACCACCTATGGTTTTCAGCTGCTGTCCCCAACATTTTCCTTTCTACCAACTATGAACTATGAATGAATCATTAGTAATAACACTTTTCAAAATCCTCTCTTACCTGCAAGGCTATTCCACTTTCTTGCCTTTCTACTAAAGCTACAAAAGTGGCATTCAAGTATAAATACTGAGCTAACAAAATCCAAAGCTAATGTAAGAATAACTGATTATATAAATATTTTGCAACACTGCTATACAAAATAAATGTACCCTAATATTAACATAGTCCAATTAAGCCCAAAGAACTTAACTAAAATTCCAACAATATTAGAAGTAAATACAGGAATAGCTTTTTAGGCAGGCCTTCTCTTGAAAAGTGGCATGGACATAAAAAAAAAACCCTTAAGCTAAAATGGCGCAAACCTTATGTAATATATCAGGGGTGTCAAACTGCTGGCCTGTGGGCCCGTTGCATCATGCAGAGGCTGCACCCAGTTCCAGTAATGCAAAAAAAGTTGCGATATGTTGCGACACGTCAAGTTTGTGTGGCAAGTTTGATACCCGTGTTATATAATATTTCTAATGGAAGATTAGATGATATCTAGCTTGGGAAAACTATGTTTTCATCTGTGTTGTTCAACTCACTTTTTCTAGGCAAATGGTGAACAACACATTTTGGAAGAAAAAAAATTAGTGAAAGAAACAAGTCCTCATCCTTATAAAAGTCTATATTACATTAAGGAAAGTAACCACATATTTTAGAACTAATTAAACACTGAAAATTTGTAGAATTCCAGGTAATATCTTCTCTTTCCTTTTATTGTTCTCCTTTATTGGAAGAACAGCAAATGTACATGTATCATCTGCTCCCCAAGTGCTGAAAAAAACATATGGAACAAACTGACAGAGTGGAGACCACAAAATTTAAAAAAATATATTGAAAATACCAACCTTCTGCACAGGGCACAACTATCAGAGCTCTGTCAATAAAAACTGTGTTTGTTAGATGCTGGGCCACACCAACACTTGAAGACTCCCGAAACTTAATATAACATACTTTGGAGGAAAAAGCGAGTGGTGCATTGCTGCAAGAAAAAGAAACCAATTAGATGCTATAGTTTCATCTTTTTTTCAAGCTGTGCTCAAAGGCAATTATGTACACATAAATACCAAAAAAGCTCTTATATTTTTTTATATCTTTTTAGTGCTTCTTAGGGTGATGCACATTAAAGTTAATTACAGAAGATATTACCGTATATGCCGGCGTATAAGGCGACTTCCGCAAGATTAAAATTGGCACCAAAGACGGGGGTCGTCTTATACGCTGGGTCGTCTTATACGCCGGAAATACTGGTAGTTTCCGGCGTATAAGACGACGTTCTAGGAATGTGACTCGGCGCCAAAGACAGGGGTTGTCTTATACGTCGGGTCGCCTAATATGCCGGCATATACGGTAGTTCTTCTACAGATTAATTTATTATGTGTCTACTTCATGTGTGGTTAGGAACGAGACCTTCTAACCAACTAAGGCTGATCTTGAAAAACCACAGTTTAATCTATTTAGCTAACTTCTAGTTCCTAGACATTTCTATGAACTAAACTTAAACTGGAATAAAGATAATGCATTATTTAAAGTTCTATATGTGACTTATGAACTATAATTATGCTACGAAATTTAAGTAATGGTTTAATAGAAACCATCAAAAAAGTTTTCCAAAATATACCTGACTTCTATGTTTTCCTTTGAATGTCTTATTTCTTTCTTACATTATCACTCCTTCTTTGACATTAAACTTGCAGGATCATTTTTAATATTTTGACATAACATTTACAAAGTAAGCGTATTTCAGTCTATATAAAATGCTTCCAATTATCTTTCTCCGCACAGGTTGTAATCTTAAAAGGCTTAAATTAATAACTATTTTGGGTTCAAATTGTGTGATACAATGTTGATAATCAAACTAAATATATTATTAATACTCCATATTTCTGAACAAGGCCTGTCAAAACAGCCAAAAAGAAGAAATTTTAATATATTTAACAACTGAATTAATTGCAAACATGGAAGACCAAAATCTGAACTAGAATATTGTAGTCAACAAGTAGCATCTCCAACATTATAGTGCTATCTATGATGGGTCCTTTGCATTGGCATTCAACTTTTAAAAGCTATTCATACTTATTGCTAATTACACATATGGTTCAGATTTAGCTTAGTTATGATTATTGCACATTAGAAAGTATGCTTCAAAGTCTACAAATACTTTATTTGTATTAACTATATTTCAATTAATTCAATTAATTATTAATCTGTTCACACTGAGTAAACAGAAAAGAGAATAGAAAAATTTCAACATCAGTTAATTCAAAGTAATATATAATCAGACAAAACACCCTGATCTCAAAAATGGTAACTGGGTCTGAAATGGCAGAACTATTAACTGTCACAATGAATTAGGGTTAACAGTAGAAGGATCATGGATAACTTTAGGTCATTTACTAAAGCAGTGAAATATGCAAATTCATATTCAGAAAGCCATAAAAATGAAATCCAAAATTGGGCAACAATACATTTAGAGTTATACAATACTTCAACTGTGTGCAGTTTGAATTTGCTGAACAGAGATTGCTGTAAGGAGAAACTAAAAGGCTTTTGAATTCAAGAAAGAAACAACATTAAAGGTCGGTGACCAATAATTTGTTTTTTCTTAAGAGGAGTATGGACAACCTGTTATCCATATGCAGACTGTCAAAATTCCAGGATCATACCACTGGCATTTTGTAACAAAAAAGCTATTTTGGCAGAGTAAATTCTGGATATTTTACTCGTCAGTAAGAATGATAATAATTGTCTCTTTCAGAGCTGTCCCGTTCCTTTCCTGCTATTAAATGAAAAGAAATATTAAAAGGGAATACAACTCTAAAACTTTTCTTTTTTTCTAAAGCATCTTTTTTATCAAATTCTATTAGGTTTTGTAAACCTTGGTGCATTATTTGAACATATTGCACAAATCCAGCTAATTAAGATTTAATAAAGGGTTAACAATGTCATGGCTTACTCTGGCTTATGAAAATAACTAATAGAAAGTATTTTTCTGTGTCCTACATATCAGAATCTCATAGGGAGAGTGTGGGAAGGCTGGAACAGTCTATTTATAAAAAGTAAATGTTTGTTTAAGTATATTTTGGTTTTTTCTAATAAAACAATTCTTATTTCTGCATTCTATATTTTTACAAGTCAAGAATTTAAAAATAAACTTAGTTTTTTATTGTTTACTGTTAAGATAAATGACAATGAAGAGCTGGGAATGACGAAGCCAAAGATCAAAGCAAGAAAATTATTCCCTAAAATTAAAAAAAAAAAAAAACTAAAAAAGGAGAAAGCAGCAACAAGTAAAATGCTTGGATTACTAGTATAGTAGCTTCATTTGTCATCTGTCTAGACTCTAGATCAGACATGTCAAACTCGCGACGTCACATGATGTCGCGCAATTTATCGGGACGGTTTTGCCATTGCCAGCAATGCGGTGGGCGTGGCTTCCAGATGACATGTCCAACCCAATGACCAGCAGTTTGACACCCCTGCTTTAGATAGTGAAACTTCTGTCAGCAGCTAGTTTATTAAGATGATTTGAGCACAATAATATTGATTACTGAAATGTAAAAAGAACAGTAAGTACAAAACTACTTAAAATATTTGAATTCAATAAAAAATTAAAGTGAGCACATTAAAGTGTACATGTATCTTTTAAGCTCCAGGTATGTTTACCAGGTTTCTAGAAAACAGAACTGTAAGCCCTACAAGAACATGACATAGTACAAAAAGTGGTCTTTTTGGTAACCTAAGTAAAAAACAGTCACAATTATTTTTACATGGGATTCAAGTTTTAATTTACTTGCCATTTAAGTTATAAATTGCAGGATTTAATAAAAATCAAATATTTCAATCAACAAAGGGGCTTTTTAAAAAAACACTACACCTACATCTGACAGCATTTATTTTTAAATAATAATAATAATAAAGTTGGAAGAGACCTTGCAGGTCATCTAGTCCAACCCCTGCTCAGGCAGGAAAACCTATACCATTTCAGACAAATGGCTGTCCAGTCTCTTCTTAAAAACATGCAGTGTTGGAGCATTTACAGCTTCTGGGGGCAGGTTGTTCCACTGGTTAATTGTTCTAACTGTCAGGAAGTTTCTCCTTAGTTCTAGGTTGCTTCTCTCTTTGGTTAATTTCCATCCATTGCTTCTTGTCCTGCTTTCAGGTGTTTTGGAGAATTGCTTGATTCCCTCTTCTATGTGGCAGCCCCTGAGATATTAGAACACTGCTATCATGTCACCCTTCGTCCTTCTCTTCATTAGACTAGCCCACAGGTCGGCAACCTGCGGCTCCGGAGCCGCATGCGGCTCTTTGAGCCTTCCCCTTTGGCTCCCAGCCTCCTCTGCCTTTGCAGAGAGAGACAGAGACAGAGAGAGGCAATTGCACTTCCCTGCTTCTCTCTCTCTGTGTGTGTTTGTGTGTGTGTTGTGTGTGTGTGTGTGTATGTGTAAAAGAGAGTGCACTCACAGTGTTCTCCGAGGAGCTGAAAAGCTTTCTGAGCGGAGCTCCTCCCTTTGCTGCGTCTCTGAAGGAAGCAGGAAGCAGGAAGGGCAGGAGAGAGCTAGCTAGCCCAGCTAGGCTGACTCAGGAATTCTGGGAGTTGAAGTCCATGAGTCATAAAAGAGACGAGGTTGCCTACCCCGGAGGTTGTTGGACAACAGCTTGAAGCTTGCCAGGTGAGCAGCAGATAGGAGGGGGGGGAGAAAAAGAGAGAGAGAAAGAGAGAGAGAGGGAGAGAGAGAGTGGGGGGGGAAGAGGAGTGGCAGACCAAGGGCAGATAGAGAGGGAGGGAGAGAGAGACCCTTTTGACATCTAAAATGAAGATAACACTGCATATATCCTTTTTTTAACCTGTGTGTGTATGTAATTTTATTCTCTTAAAGCATTCTCTTGGTGATCATTGTTTTAATAGTATGGATATTCCCAAGAGTCATATTTTTATGTGTTTGTGTGTGTGTGTGTGTGTGTGTGTGTGTGTGTATATATATATATATATACACACACACACACACACACACATATACACATACACACACCTATAATAAAGGTAAAAAAGGATATATGCAGTGTTATCTTCATTTTAGATATCAAAAGGGTTTTGCGGCTCCCAGTGTTTTGTTTTTGGTGGGAAACGGGTCCAAGTGGCTCTTTGAGTGTTTTGGGTTGCCTACCCCTGGACTAGCCATACCCAATTCCAGCAACCGTTCTTTATATGTTTTAGCCTCCAGTCCCCTAATCATCTTTGTTGCTCTTCTCTGTACTCTTTCTAGTCTCAACATTTTTTTTACATCGTGGTGATGTAACTGAATGCAGTATTCCAAATGTGGCTTTACCAAGGCATTGGAAAATGGTATTAACGCTTCACGTGATCTTGATTCTATCCCTCTGTTAATGCAGCCTAGCACTGTGTTGGCTTTTTTGGTAGCTGCAGCACACTGCTGGCCCATATTCAAGTGATTGTCCACTAGGACTCTGAGATCCCTCACAGTTGCTACTATTGAGCAAGATACCCCCTATAATATACCTGTGCGTTTGGTTTTTCTTGCCTAAATGTAGAATCTTACTTTTTTTCACCATTGAATTTCATTTTGTTAGATAGTGCCCAATGTTCAAGTCTATCAAGATCCTCCTGTATCTTAAGCCAGGGGTCCCCAACCCCCAGTCCGTGGACCAGTACTGGGCCACGGCATGCCAGCAACCGGGCTGCACAAAAAAGCAAAGCCCCATCCATGGGATGCAGGCAGCACACAAAACCATTCTCCCTCGGTCCACAGAAAAACCTCTCTCCACGTAAACGGTCCCTGATGCCCAAAAGATTGGGGACCTCTATCTTAAGACTATCTTCTAGAGTGTTGGCTATTCCTGCCAGCTTGGTGTCATCTGCAAATTTGATGAGTTCCCCATCTATTCCCTCATCCAAATCACTGATGAAGATGTTGAAAGCACTGGGCCCAGAACAGAGCCCCACTACACATTTCCCTCCATGTAGATGCAGTTCCATTGAGGACCACACACTGAGTACAGCCGTTCAGCCAGCTACGAATTCATCTGGTGATGATGCTGCCTAGCTACAACTTGCCTTTTTTAGGAACATTCTCTTATGTATATTTTCATCCTCTACATATTATTTTTTTATCTAAAAAGAATATTAATAAGCCCTAAGTACTATGATTATTTTAAGTAAGTTCTTATCCTAGAAGTTATCAGTGATTGCTGCCTCTTGGCCATCTTAAATTCTACTCAATGTTTTCAAATTCCAAATCTTAATAGCACTATAGACTTTATTTTATTATCTGTGATCCTCACTTTTTGTAAAGGTCGAAACTCTGACTTCAGAGTCCTTACTGAGACTCAGCAAGGAGAAGCAGGGGATCAATCATATGTAACTGAATTTAAACATAAACTCATGTCCATCATCTGACAAACATTCAAAACATAAAATAAAAAAACTCAAAAAGTGGGCTCAATGGACCATTAGGTTTTTTTGTGATGTCAGTTCTCTATGTTTTTATCTTTCCTTTTCTGTGGAATGCCCTTCATCAGAATTAAAAGCCTACATTCTCTTCTAATATTCAGGAAGCTTTTAGGAACATGCCTTTTTCAATGCCAGATCAGTGAAGCAACAGAAAAGCATGTATAATTACATAAATATTTGCTTTTGTAAATAGAATTCTTAACCTTAACGTTTATCTTAATAAAAACAACCATGTCTGCTATCAGTGACATGTTTGGTACTTTTATCACACAGCACATTCACATGCAGAATTCTAAGTACTTGATTATAACATGTTAAGTGTCAGAAATGTTTCTGGTAAACCATAACAATTCATCTTCCCTGAACATTATAGAAAGACTGTAAGATATATATGTCAGGATTTTAGATTTTACATAAGGTGATACAGTATCTGTGACTGACCATATTACAACATCCTAAGTGTGCTGAATTGGCCGTTCAGCCCATGAAATTTCACTAAACCCTGTTCCAATTAAGGAAAGGACTGCAGCTCTACAGGGACATAAGGTTGGTTGAAAGAATAAGGCTGATTCCCAAGTAACTGCACAATAAAATCAATTAAAGCGCTTGGATGAACTGAGGGAGAGAAGTCTGAGAAGGAGCTAGAGGGCTTCCCTGCCGTTATCTTTTCAAAGCCAAACAAACGAAGCTCCCACGGAAAGAACCTATCTGCAGAGGGCTTCTAACAAAGAAGCGCTAACCTCAAAGTCAGAGGCATTTCTCACAATACTGAAAAGGAAAAGAATAACAGGACTGAGACGAAACGGCCATGGTAAAGAGTGAAAAAAATATATTCGTGAATAGGTGCCATCTTCAACAATCCTCACAGAAAGTAAAAGCCTCAAAACGGAGGTGTGTGTGTGTGTGTGTGTGTGTGTGTGTGTGTGTATGTATATATATATATATATATATATATATATATATATATATATATATATATATATATATATATATATATATAAATAAAAAATAAAAACTGACCGGATGCTGCGCCCTCCATTTTGCTTGTGGGTGGCTAGTAGTAGCTCCGTTTTGAGGCTTTTACTTTCTGTGAGGATTGTTGCTCGGAGTGAAGATGGCACCTATTCACGGATATATATATATATATATATATATATATATATATATATATATATATATATATATATATATATATATATATATTTATATACCCCGTTTCTTAAAACACAGTCATTCCCGCCATTCTCTATGGCTTCCCGGCCTCACTTACTCCGGAGGGTAAAGGCGCAACTCCTCAATGTCACCTAGGAAACCGAACAGCGTCCTCATCTGCTCACTAGTAACCGCGGAGGATAAATTAGTGACTTGAATAACCGAAGTAGGAGTTAAAGGAAAGCCGAGGGGGACCCCGATTCCACCGCTGTTCATCATGATGGCGGCAATTTCTCTATCTGACCAAGCCAACGCACGTAAGAGGGGAGACGGAAATTACCATAGAAAAGGCGTCTTTTCCTAGAGTGTATATACGTTGCGATGTTTCCGTTCATGTAATATTCTCTGAGGTGAGAAGCGTAAGAGCACTTGTTCTTGCGGCTAGGGCTTGCCTAGGAATATTTGTTTTGTAGAGGAGGGGGGGAGTTGATATTTTGGAGTGTCATTGTTAACCAGTGATGATAAATTATCTCACCACTATTGAAACTGAAGTCCGGCACGTCTGAAAAGGAACAAGTTGGAGAGGACAGTTCTATGGTCAAAGTATACCTAATACAAAAACCAATACACAGTGCGAAGTTCAACCTTTCCTCAAGCTAGGGCTTAGTTCTCCGAAAACCCCGCATAAAGCAAATTCACTGGTTGGTGCACGTGGGACCAGTGGGGGAGGGGAAGAAGGCGTTTGCAGGATATGACAAGGTATTTTGTAAACTCGGTGACGATCCTGTACTCATAAATTGTTAGATCCTTTATACTTAAGGCCTACTTAAGCATATTTTCTTGTCTCATATTTATATAAAATATAAATATATAAATAAAATATCCTTAAGTAGTGAAAGAGTCTAATGCAGGTGGATTTTTCAGGCATATGGCTATGGCACCAAACAATGCTTCACGGCACTAAGATTTTTATTTGCGGTTTTAGGTTGTATACAGCTTAGACTAGGTTTAAAAAGCACATCCTAGGGCTGAGGCTCCTGCGCCAGCTTCAGAGCCATAGTACGTTCAACTCTTTTTAAAATGTTAGGGTTTTGGGATCCACTGCTCAATGTGATGTTGGCAGATACATGACTGCCGACAAAACGAGGGCTGGTCTTGGCATGCTTCCAGACCTTTCGTGCTAATGGAGTACAAATCTCACATAAAATGAATGCGATTTATCAGTTGAATTCTGTATCTCGTCTTTTCACGGCTCTTTGAAAATCTAAGGGAAAGAGCAGTTAACAGAATAACCGGGAAAAGCTTTTCTAAAGCGGGAAAAGGCAAAAACTCTGAGACGGATCAGGCGTGGGATCCCAGAAGCCATCGTTCTCTCGGTACTGGGATCCTCAGCAAGCTCCCCTCTGTGTAGATTCAACTCAATTCGGAGATAGTTTCAGGTCCGTCCCTAAGCAGCGTGGCAAATATTGGAGAGAGGTTCCACTAAGATTTTGGACATTTCCCTCTAGGTCAGTCTAACAGCTCAGGGATGAAAAAGATTCCAGAAAAGGTTCAGATTATGAAACATTTTGGTTTCTGAGTCTGAAATGGGCAATGGTTTTAAGCAAAACGCCCTCGACTAGTTTTGACAACTTTGTAATTATTTTAAATACGCTCATATTTTCAAAATGAATTGCCTGTTTGGTTTGCAATACTCTTTCTCTCATTAGTAATTAGCACTAGGTATGTATTAATAATTGTGCAAATGGAGCTCCCACAAAGCATAATTGATAGAGAGACCTGGAAAAGCATCATCTATTCTACATTGTTGCCATTGATAAATGGTTGTTAATTTCATTTAATAGTAAATCTGTCTATCTCCCTACCTTTAGGAATAGCAATCAGTATGAAATTATTTGTTCATACATTCTATTTAATTCAAATGTTTTAAAAGTTTAAAAAAATTCCAAGAAAGAGAAGTTTCAACAATTTATAAAAATCAAAACTGACGTCAATTGAAACCAATAAAGTACACATAACTTTAAAGAGCATTAGTTTATTATCTATTCTTTTCATGTTTTATCCAGAAACAATTTAATTATATACAAAAAAAACTGGAATGCTGAATAAATGCTGATCAATAAAAACATTACAGAGCGGCCGACAAGGGAATATTATTTTAAAAAGTAGTATACAGCAAATTAATGATAAAGGCTTGGTTCTGTGTGTCCCTTATTGCTATGATTGTGTTCACAGATGTGTTCAAGTATGTACACATTTTTAAACTCGGCAGTCAAAAATAGTAAAAAAAAATATTTACACAATAAATATGTGGGAATTTTTCCAAAAAATTCGCTTTAACTGATTCTTTAAAGAACTGTTACAAAAAAAAAACCTGAATTGATAACATGATCCATTCTGTACCTCTTCCATCAAATTTCCAGATATATATATTTTGATAAAATAAAAAACATTCAGGGCTTCAAGAAATGTTTTCCTGTTGGAGTAAGCTTGTTTCGCAACAATCCCTCTCCAAACATATATTCTGACAATGTTTTTCCCCCACAAAAGAACTTTAAACAAAATTTTATTTCCTTGCAAACAGACAATAAGCACCAATGCGCTGTTACTTTAAACAATGAAAAAGTTTGGCAATGTTTTTACAAAAATTATTCAAATGAATTTCTAATTTAAGGAATATTTCTCATTTCATACAAAATGCAATATATTTGGACATATTTTATTCTTATGTCTTGTATGCAAAGATAAATTGAATCCATATTCAGCTTTGAAAGTTATATTTCACATAATCATGATTTTTTGTTTTTTTATATTCTCTATTAAAAGACTAAATTGAATAGTTAAAAGTAATGAATATGGGTCACTGAATAAATTGTAAGTAAAATAGCAACACTGAAGCTTGTCACCATAGAGCTATTTTTTAAAAAAGATTAACAGCATACAGAAAATGTGAATTTTACCAAAATAAAGCACATTTCTGCTAATATAAAAAAACAATGCCTATGTAAATATTAATAAAATCGACTAAAGTTAATGTACAAAGAATTGTTAAAGGATTTCAATTAAAATTAAGAATTATTTGCATTACAATATTCAGTTGGTAAGTGAAGTGCAATATCATTTGAGTTTAGGTATTCAAAAACCACTGTCAGCTAACAATGTGGATTTTCCATTCAAGTATGATTTTGCAAAATCTTTAACAGATTGGTACTTTGCTAGATTTCTTTTTAAAACTATTAATTTCTATTAAAATTTCAATTAAATGAATATTTTTTCCAATGATGGGTTAATCATTCACTTTTAAAAACAGTTATTTTTTCTATGGCACTTTTCTGTGGTGCATAATACCAATGTATTAACTTATTATCGTGAATTAGGCAATATCATCTGTTATAACATGAAAATGAAAATAAACATTTGTCACAAACAAAATTATGTATAATCCAATGTTTTATGCAACTAATGAACAAAAGGCAGCTTGTAATAAATCACTCTTACATTAATATAGTTAGAAATCCTTTAATGGACTCTTAAGTGTCTAGTTCACATTTAATGTCACTTGTAGGAACAGCCCTTTGAAGAAGATCATACAAGCTTGTGGGCCCAAAATACTGTCCCTTTACAATAGGGAACAACCTTCTATTGCTGTGCAACAATGTCACATAACCTGGCTTTGGTTATAGCTCCATATGTATTATTTCTTTTTAGTCTCCCAAGGCAATCGAGGCCAACAAAAATCAAGAGTTCTTTCTGAATCATTTAATCTGGGGCATCCCAATCTTCATATGGCTCAGTATCATAAGCCTTCTTAAAAAGAGCACAGCTTTTCTATTCAGAACATGCATATGTTAAAACTGAATGTGTCTATGCATCTTCATACATTATAGGCAACACAGCAAAAACTGGCCATTTCAGTTTCTTTTAAAAAATGTATAAATAATTTGAATATGGAGCATTTCAGACAAGGCAGAAGAAAATCATCCTTTTATATAAAACCAGGGATTTTTGTAATGAGAGTATCTTTACAACTCCATAGCATAATTATTTTTTTAAAGTGTGATTAAAAACACTCAAAAGTAAATTACAGGTAAGAATATGACAGGCAATGGATTTGATATGAATCAATCCTGTAGAACCTCCGTAAGTATATTTACTGTATTGTCTCTTAAAAAAAAACCCTTTATGTTTTATTGCATTTTTTTCAATTGGTACATAAAGGTTCTCCCATTTATTTATTTATGAGACTTATATACCGCTTTAAGTGCAAGCACTCTCTAAGCGGTGTACACCGGTAAGCAATGTAATTAAGTTCCTCTCCCCTTCTTTTAATTTCATACTTTTACCTGGCCTTTTAATTTAATCCAATCACTCCACTTTCAGTCTACCAATTCATCTATACAATATGCACATTGCAAAGCCAACTTTTAAAATTTCCTACCAATATCTACCAAAGTGGTTTCAACAAAGATTCTAAAAATAAATGAAAAATTAAAGGCAACAAAACTGCTATAGGACAGAAAACCCTGCCATCTGTCCACTGGCTAAAATGGAGGCTCCTTGTACACAAAGTTCTTTAATGTATATGAATTATCCACAAAATAAACCTACCATCTGTACAAAATACACCACAGGTTTGTTCTTGGAGGAGTGATCCTTGATTGCTACACTGTCATAAAACAATTTAGCTCTAATTACCATATGCATTTCCTTAACTGCTTCATTTATATTCTTTACAGTGGTTTTTCCCCATAACCACAAATTCATTATTTTATTTCTGTACATAGTTTTAAAAGTTTTGCATACAAAAATAGTCAAAATATTAAGTTTTCCACAAGTCCTTCAAAAATTACACAGAAATTCCTCTTTCTCCACAGTATTTAAGAAAGCTCTCGAACAATAGTAAGTTCCACTGTGTTCTGAAAAGTCTTTAGCAAAGATACTGCTTGCCCATGATCAATACTGATGAAGCTATATCCATTAGCCTGGAAAAAAACAAAAATATTAATAAATTAAAAGTAAATATTTTCAATAAGTTTTTAAACTTTGTTTTTGAACCTTATTTTTCTTTTTGAACATCATTCAAATGAATTCTAATTTATCATTTTCAGAAAACTTTGTTGTTGTTCCAATAACATGTCAATGGAGGAGCAATACAAAAGAGCAAACAAGTCCATATTTCAACATACAGTCATCGCCACTATCTCCTACCACTAGGAACTGAATTAACGAAATCATTGTCATTACCATTAAGATAATACAGCTACCAAATCCTGAAATGTTAAATCGCTAATTCAAGCATTTTATCTGGAAACTTTACCAAATACTATACTATTTTGCAATAATGATAATTCTTTCCTCTTTTTATTTAGAATCAAAGCTTTACATACAATTATTTATTTTTAGTAATTTGTATGCTGCCCTCAGAATTTTTTTTCAGGGTGGTTTACAATACGTGACAGAGAAAAGAAATAGTTATTTTAATAGACTTTTTACCTAATTATCTACAGAAAAGATGAAAAACAATAACACTCAGAAAACTGATAGAATCTTGCAGGCATAACATTGTTGAAAAATAATTGATGACTAAATTACATTACCTGAATAATTTTATCTCCTGGCTGTAACAATTTTGATGCAGGTCCTTCAGGCTGTACTCTAGTTACAAAAATACCCTTCAAGAAAACAAAAACAGAAGTAGTATTCACCTTAAAATAAACATGTATTTGTATTAGATTAATAGTATCAGCAGAATTAAACCGGTTGTGTTATTTTGAACAAAAAATGTTTCAAATCTAAAATTCATGCATGTTATTAAAGCCACTAACCACTAACATATGTGTAGGGAAGGTATTAGTATAAAAAGGGCAGTGAGTGGATATGTGAGACTCTGCAGCCCAATCTGGAGATAATATTATATTTGTAATATTGATATAAAATATGTGTACTCTAGATAGTAGTGAAAATAAAGAATTGAAGTGAAACCAGCTTAATGTTACAATATTAGATCATATCAGTCAGTACAGCACAAGTAGAATATGTTCAATGGGAATGGTTAATATTCTAAATCTTTTCTACTGCATGAAACTTTTATTTCTGCTTTGGCAAAGCTCCTGACCAGGAAGCTATCATAAAACTTCCAAGCATTCCCAAGCCTCCCCTCAGTTTTAAGTAATACAATTCTTTCACTCCAAAACTGTGAGGAGAGAATAGGCTATTTATCAACTGCAGGGGGTAATTGTAGTGTGTAGATTTGCTAAAGCCTAATGAAAAGCCTTATTGGTCAGAGGGATGATCATTAATTACATTAGTAATTGATCTCATGGATTCTGAAAAGAGTGGTTATCAACCTACAGGAATCACTCTGGCACTGATTTTTGTTAGCTGGCATCTACAGGTTCCACTACGCCAGTGATGGCGAACCTGTTAGAGACCGAGTGCCCAAACTGCAACCCAAAACCCACTTAGGTATTGTTGGGTGCTGGGTGGGCGTGGTCCATTGGGTGGGTGTAATCAATTAGGTAGGCGTGGTCAATTGGATGGGCGTGGCTGTGGTGGTAATGGTAGACTGGGCGGGACTAAAAAGTTAAATCAATCAATTCCAACTTTGTGAGATCTTTTTTTTTCCCTGCAATAAGTTGAAATTGATTGATTGATTGAATCTTTTTTTTTTTTGCACACGGCGGTGGAGGGCTAAAGTGAAAAGGGTTTATAAAACCCAGCTGAAGGCCTAAGACTGGGGCAACGTCGCGCGTGCCCAGAGAGGGCTCTGAGTGCCACCTGTGGCACGCGTGCCATAGGTTCGCCACCACGGCACTAGGCTGTTAACGTCTTCTCAATAATATAATAAATTCTACAGTGAAATTTGTTTATTTAGAGAGCCATAAATTATGCTTACTTCCTAAATAGGGGAGACGGTGGGGGAGGCTAACACCAATGACTTGCAATCTTCCCTGCTGGGTTCCCCATTGTTTTTTGGGGAAGTTTGGAAATGACAGTCATGATTGTAGGGGTGCTGGGACAGTCAGAACTCTAATGGATCAGAGTTACCATTCTTTCGTTCAGCATAGTTGTATCTTCAAACAGTTGAGAGATATGGGTAGTCTTCCACCTACAAAGCCCCCGTAGTTTTAATAGCATGATTTACAATACAGTGTAAGAAGGCTTATTTTAAAATAAATATCTTTGTCAACTTTAAAATGAGCATTATTGCAACCATCTTTTTCCCTTTTCGTTCCTAGTTGCCACATAGTATGGGGGGAGGGGGGGTTGCCAGGTGTTGCGCTAGACAAAACAGACTTTTTCTCTTGATTTTCTCTCATGGGAACCAAGGTCATCGGCTGTTCCTGAGACTGCAGGCTGGGTGCTTCATGAAAAGCCTGCCAACAAGCTGAGTGGGAAAACGTAGTTGCTTGCATAGTTTTGGGGATGGGATTCCTTAACTTTGTATTGGGGGATTGTTATGCATCTCTTCAGACTTGGTTTTACTTTTGAAGTACCGATATTCTGTATCAATAAACATGTTTTTTGAGGAATTTGCAAGCCTCAGAGTTCTGTTTTATTTGTCTCTGTCGATCAGAATCTTGACAATCTTCTTGAAACAGAATTTTCTGATTATAATAACAAATGAAAGAAACTCATATAAACTTTCTTTGAACATTACAGTGAATTAATTTTTATGACATCTGACACTTCAATTTATACTGTTATTGTATAGTTAAATTATTTTCTATTACAAACTTTTTTGTTTTTTTCTTATTTTCATGGTGAACAAGACAGTTGTTTTTATCAAAAGATTATGTAAATGAACAAACATCTTCATTTTATTATTTTAATCCTGACAATTTGAAAACATTCTGAAAAGTTCATATTATAAAAGGTTGATGAAAAATAAATTTGCACACAAATTAGTGATATTGAAATTGATGTAGGAAATTAAAATTCACATTTTAAATATATTAATTATTATCTTTTATATTCATTATACAGATGTAAAAATATTGAATGGCATCTTGAGAAAAAAAATAATTTCCACTTTAAACCAAAAACAACTAAATGTTACCTGTCACCCACAAATCTTCAGAAACTGAATAGCAAATAAACTACAGAAACAAGCCAACCAATGAGGACATGCCTACAGACTCAAGATTCGGTGTATATGTGAAGAGTTACAACTCACCAGTTAAGAAATGAAAGCAGGAAAGAAACAGATTGGTAGAAAGTACTCATGATTTGGAATATGGTACAAAATGATGTTTAATTATATAAAATTTTCAGATTTTTATGAAAGATTTATAAACAATGTATAAATAATGCATAAAAAGCATTGGCAAACAAAATATTCAATACTGATGTACAAATTTATCAGTATATTTGTAATATTTGTAGTTTCCATTTTTTCAAATGGTAAACAGTGCCTCAATGGATAAAGGATAAATATTCATTTAAAGAAAGTATTTTTAATTAATACTCACATCATCATCTGGTCTAAAGGGGTTTCCTCTACCCCCAATTCCTCCTGATATACTAAATCCAAGTTCTGGATCTTTTTCAATTCTTACTCGAATCTAAAATATAAAACATAATATTTAAAAGCAGGCTACTTACATATTCAATCCTGTGAAAATGAAGATAATCAATCCAATTATCTTGAACATGTTAGAGATATTATTATTTTTACAGTCGTTTTATTTATTTTACAGTTGTTTTGTTTATTTATTGTTTATTTATATATTGTTTATATTGCTTTTGTAAACTACACTGAAGGGAACTTTTAAGTCAAAAGTTAGCTCTTTAAAATAAATAAAATGTATCTAAAATTCCTAAGTAATGCCTATGAAAATAAAATAGTATTGTGATAATAAAGCCATTTTTGAAAGAGGCCACAGTGGAAGAAAACAGCAAAACAAAATCACAATTAAATATAATTTTCAGTGCTTAATTATGGGAATGAAATCCATAATCTATTAACTGATCCATAAAATAGAAATGTCTCCCTTACTTCTTGCTTTGATACCTCATGGCATTGTCTAGTTGGACCTTGAGGCTGACTATAGGGAGGTTGATGGGCAACTTTAAGCATCAGATAATCAATCAGTTGTTCTCTGGAAGGGTGTCTTGCCACCGAAGTTTGAGGTCCAGCATGATGGATTTGACTATAGTTTGGCTGAGGTCTTGGAGAATGACCCATCTGCCCATTCATCAAAGGTATCTGAATAAATGAAACACCTCTAAATGAATATTTACACCAGCAAGAATATATTGATTTACTTAGCTGTTCTATTTATACACAGTCATATACACATACAAAAAAACAAACATTGTATTTTTAACATACAATATACTTTCTTTCTGACTTCTAAATGGCAAATCTATTCACTTTCATTTGGAATTGTTCTTATTGATAGTCAAAGTCTAATATGACTTATAAAATATTTGAGAACTTGCTAATGTATTTCATGGTCCCATATCTCTCAGATATGTTTCATTTCCAGAGAAAATGAAGTGACAATCACCTAGATATTAACTCCTAGGGCACTTTTTAATAGAAGATCTGGTTGAATAAGCAATGTTGACAAAAACTATACTAAATGAATATAAACACTATAAAGAAAGCAGAAAAGTTACAGATGGTGAAGGGATTTGACAAGAATAAAACCAAGTTTCTCTAAATCAGGGATATAGTCACAATCTTGGTATAAAGTCAACAAGCTCAAGAATTTGTAAATATGTTCATGCCTTTCATTGAGACAGAATATATGTGGAAGTTGAACATTCTCAGCAGCCTCAGCTATGATGGTTAAAGGATAAATGCTAGAAATTGCAGTACAACATTATCTAGATACATAGGAGTTCCTTCTATCTATCAACTTCTAAAAAAGATATATAGTAACATAATCAGCTCCAATCGATTAAAGTAAATTGAATTCTTACTGACCTTAATTCAATGGGTTATTACAAAAATACTGATTTTTTTACATGACAATAGTTAGAGCAGAGAGCTGGATGTGGGAGGGGGAAAGAGATTCAGGGTAACCACATCCTAGAATCAATCTATCTATCTATCTATCTATCTATCTATCTATCTATCTATCTATCTATCTATCTATCTATCTATCTATCGAAATAGATAGATAGATAGATAGATAGATAGATAGATAGATAGATAGATAGATAGATAGATAGATAGATAGATAGATAGATAGATAGAGATAGAGAGAGAGAGAGAGAGAGAGAGAGAGAGAGAGAGAGAGAGAGAGAGAGAGAGAGAGAGAGATCTGCTAGGGTAGAGTGTTACACCTTTAGTTTGGTAAGATTTTATCCATTGGATAAAAGCAAATAAAGGATAAGTCTTGATTGGATTTTGTTGGACCTGATATTATTGGTCTTATTATCTCAAATATTTCTCTAAATCCCTTGAAGAATAAACTTCATAATGAAGGCTTTGCATTTGGATAAAAGTCTACGCGTACAGTATTTTGTAATATAGTTCCACCTTAGGTATGATAGCCAGCTGGATGACTAGCCTAAAGTCATCCAGCTGGCAATCATACCTAAGGTGGAACTATATTACAGCCTAACCCACCTCATGCTTGAGTTAAATAATAAAGGTGTAATAAAAATCTAATAATAAATAATAAATAACTAAATAAAAAAGTCCCTCATTGATTATATTACTCAGTTTAGCGTTAATGGACAACATTTTTCATCATCAGTTTTTGTTATGTAAATTTCCTATGCTATTATTTTTTTTTCTTGACCTTTTACTTGTCCAACTGTTGACTTAATTCTTTTTAGCCAGCATTTCTAGGAACTCTAGCTGGCTGTCATTCCTTTATTTCCTCCACATCAATTTACACTATATCTCATACAATACTGCTTAGGCTCATCATATATCTCTGATATTTAGTTTAATGCTAATGTCCTTAAAAATGTTATTACTTATAGCTGGTGCAATACTGGCAGCAGGTCTCTTATCCATGTACAACTTACCTTAAAAAATAAGCTGTGATTAATTTTCTTTGCACTGAGACAGACTTTGCTCTGATTGCTCTGATTTAAATTTGCTCTGGCTGCCACAAACCAAAGAATGTATCAAATCTGCCCTCCTGGTTCCCTTATCAATTGATAACTATCCGAATAGCACTAAACCTCCACTGTAGATGAAGAATAGCAGGAGTGCTATGGTCATATACTTTTCTTTTTTAAACAATATCCAGCCTGTACTTTCTTCCTCAGATCAGTTCCTGCAAATCCCTTGGCATTAATTTACACTGGCCCTGTCCTTTTCACAGATGGGTCACTTTCCGCAGCTAGAACAAAAGCAGTCCAATGTTTCATTACTTCTAGTCCTACTTTTGACTGCTAGTCTGTCTTTTCAACTTCATATGACATAACTGGAGCCCTAATTATAATGAAATACTTCACCATTTCACAACATTGTTTAAAAGTCGAATTACTTTAATGATTAAGTAAGTAAGGGGAGGCAGGGAGGTAATGCATACCGTGGACATTCCAGTACAAATAGACACTAAGTGCTAATGCCCAGGTACATATTATTATTATTATGGTTCAGTTGGCCAGATATTTTGACGACACTTGGGATTCTTATCCACCTATCAAATCTCTTGCAAGAACCTGGGATAGGCAGATGTTTTTGTTTGAGGGTTATTATTATGGTTCATCACACAGTCAGCCAAATGTTTAGACTGGATTTGGCATTTTTATTCACCTATCGAGTCTTTCCCAAGATCCTGTGATAGGCAGCTATTACTACTATTATTATTTGTTAGTCCTCATGAGCACTGAGTATCTACTTCATTGTTACAAAGGTAACAATTTTATATTTTATTGAAAAGAATGATGTTTAACTGAAAAGAGAGGAACAATTTTTCAATCTGCTACTGGCAGCAACAGCAGAGGAAGAGACGAGGATAAAGCACATGACGCTAAAGGTCATATATGTAAAATTAACATTTAAACAATACCAATTACTATTACTACATTACAGTCACATATGATTAATGAATCTTATAGTTTATTACCTGCACAGGAAGTTTTTTAATGGTATCTGGAACAGCCTCTTTCAGACTAAGAGTGGCAGTTGAATAATTCTGCTGTCCAGAAATGAACACATCCTCCTCTACTGGATTGGATGTTTGGGGATGCTGAAAATTACAAATAAAAGCATGTAAACATTTCTGCTATATACCAAAGCGAGTTAGCCCTCTTTCATGCTGTTCACAAGTTTATTCCTTTATTTTGCCTTACAAATTATGTCATTTAGTTTGTATACATACCTCTTAATAGTAGCTTTGCTATTTATTTTCTCTTAGGAATTGAAGTATAGCATGACTGTCGACAATTGGACATGCTATTCAATGACTGCTGCACTTGGTGCTTCAGTTTAAAGTAAAAGGAAAGATCTTGAACTGTGGATCTAACACATTTATTTTCCCCAGGGAAGTAATATAGGAAACCAAATTAAAGACCAAAGCTATACACAGGAAGAATATGGTTTTATCAAATTACGGAAGTTCATAGTTAGTTTTGCCCTTGAATTAGACAGCAAAAAGTTGAAAAATGAAAGAAACTATAGAAGTGGACATGATGCAAGTCGACATGGATATATACATAGGACCATAGTATGTCTAAAAATTATACTAGTGCCAAAAATGGGAGAAAGAGAAAATATGCCAATAGAAATCAAAAGTCTGCGTAGTCAGTGTGATGGAGGACTAGAGTGAGAACTGGATTTTTTTTACTCAAAAAGCCGTATTTTTAAAGTGCTGTGCAATCCAGACTTAAAAATAGACTACTAATGGAAAGAAGGAAGCATAAAAGATAGTCACATTCATATCTGATCAATATGAACAAATCTGATTAGATCAATTACACGAACACATGACAGGAAAGTAGGTTCAACTTTAATCATACTAGAGTACATCCACTATTACAAGAGAATTTCTATTAATGTAACAGAACTTCTTTGTTATATGGTCTGCAGCTTTGGTCCACAATGTCCCCAACCACCAAGAGCAGATTTAAGGGAATCTTGTAAAGATGTAGTGTAGATGAGAATAATCAAGAAAAATGAAAAATAGCAAAATCTTTATTATATATACTTTAATCTGTGGAATAAGTAAATTTATAAATTAAGCTCTATTACTACTTTTAAACATGAATATGTAAAGAAATATATTTATCTGCATAAAAAAAGATTTTTGTTTTGAAATGCCCCCCCCCCAAAAAAAAACCTTACAATTCGGAATGCTTGATCAACTTGGAATAAAGTTGAATCAGTTAAGAAATTCAAAGTAAGAGGCTATCTATTTATGTTTAAAATTATAGTGGTGCTGAACAAATGGTAGTTATGCCTGGTCCTATAAGTTACAGTTATTGCAGTGCTCTTGTTGTCATGTGATCAAAATGTCGGTGTACTTATGACTATAGGTAACTTCACCTCCCCCCACCCATATCTTCTCTCATCTCTGCTCTTTAGCTGCCCCACACTTCGCTTCTGCCAGCCCAGCCACTTTGTGTTCCACTGTGTGTGGTGCCTCTGGCTAACCTTCACAAGTGTGCCTGGACTTTTGCAAGGCAGCTCTTAGCCAGGCCAAGCTTTCTTCCTGAGGCTGTTCATGCTCTTATCCAATTTGGAAGGCTCACAAACTTGAAATCTGGACAAGGACACATTGGCCTTATGAAGAAGGCAGCTGCCTTACAAAGGGCTAGGGGGGTGAACCTTGACAGCAGTGGGAGAAAGAAGATAAGAGAAGATCAGCTGGAGGGTGGCAAAACCATTTGTAGCAGGGTAGCCAAAGGGCAGAGATGGGGAGAGCTAGGTAGGTTTGGGTAGTGGAAGTGGAAGTGGGACTGGGACAAAGCTGGGAATGGCTTGAGTCAGGGTAAATCCTTACAACTGGATAGGATTTGGTTAACAATGGCAACTGGAATTATCATGACTAAGCTATGTGATCCTGTGACATTGTGCCTTATGACTGCATCACTTCATGATGGAAATTCTGGGCTCATTTACTGTTATAACCTGAGGACTCCCTGTATGTTTATATTTCATAAAAATCTTTTAAGTCATCTACCAATGCAATAAATAAACTCATTCCATACATAAACTATCCCACAGAATAAAACATGCCGATGAGTATTTGTAAAATCAGAAGATGGTCTGCTGTTTGGCTCAGAGCAGGAAATGCAGTCCTATTTAAGGGGACAGGTGGATTCTTTCATTATTCTTAAATCATTACCTTTTTTAATCATTACAGTAATGAATAAAATCAAACATGATAAAGATTTCACAAATTGCAAAAATGCAATTGCAAGACATTTCCAATTTTTTTTTCAACAAGCATTTTATTAGGAATGTACTCACACGAAGAACAGGTACACCAGAACTTCTTCCATCTGCAACACTTAAAGCAACATTGCCCTGGCTGCCATGCAGATCCCTAGAGCTGCCATAGTAAAAGTTGCTAACTGGAGCATAATTGGAATTAAAGGACCGTGACAGCATGCTCTGAATAAAGAGGGGACAGATAATAGAGATTAGTGCAGCGTGCATAAATCACAAGACATGTTATACACAAAGTCAGTACAGACACACAGATTGCATATCATGTTATAACCATGCAAACAAAGAATAGTCCCGCTGTGAATACAAAATCTCGGTTACATGCCATGTGATTTTTCACAATATAAATGAACATGCTGTCTGACATAATCACCACGGAAAGCACAGTATACACCATTCATTTGCTAAGACCGCCTCTCCCTATCTGCCTATCCCACAAGATCAGATAGGGTGGGCATGCTCCAGATCCTCTTCCTGAAATTTTGCCATCTAGTGGAAATGTACTGTCAACGCTGTGACAATGGATGTCATCGCTCTGACAACTGAGAATCAGTAGCCATTTTTACTTTTGCTTCTAACCTGCCTTTTATATTCTTTTAGAGTTCAGATGTAGAAGAGGGGATGGGGAAAATGCTTGAGGGTTTAGCTAGCCATAACAATGTAGAAAGGTGGGAACTCAAGGATATGGTCTGATAAGGTTTTGGTGGGCGGGTGACATGCTTGTGTTAATTGGGGAATGTGATTTATGACAGCATTTGTGGGGTAGGAATTGCAACCTGCTACTTTGAATCTGGGGGGGGGAGGGAAACTCAGTTTTGGGTTCAACTATTTAAGTGCCGATACTTTGTTTCCTAATAAAATGTTCTTTAAGGAAAAATTCTTGCCTTGAAGTTTTTACTGGTTTCATCTATCAGAACCTTTTGTACCTTTTCCATGGCTGCTCTAAACTTTGAAACACCCTCCCTTTCAGAAGATCTAGCTTTTTAGTAGGTGGTGGGATAGGATTGTACAGATAGAACGTATGGAAGGAGGGCAGCTGGCCTGCTATGGGGCATCCCAAAGGGATGATTCAAGCTCAGGTTTTTTGTTTTATTCTTTTACTCTTTTTCCTTTTGCATTACTGTTTTACTTATTGGTTTTAGTGTTGTGATAAGCTGTCCAGTGTTCCTTAAGAGCAGTGGTTCTCAACCTGTGGGTCGGGACCCCTTTTGGGGTCGAACGACCATTTCACGGGGGTCGCCAAACAACACAGTCTGCCATTTTTCCCCTTTTCCTTAGCTGTGCTACTCCCTTTTATTATTTATTTAGTCTAATTCTATTGGCTTTCAAAAGCCAATAGGAATTATCCAGGCTGTCTCTGCCCTGCTGAGCCCGCCAAAAGTCCCATTCTGCAAACGGTGCTGCACCAGTTGAGTAGTCCTCGACTTACGACCTGTTGGGGGTCGCGGCATTAAAAAGGTTGAGAACCACTGCTTAAGAGGATCGCTCATATAAAGAAAGGTAAAGATGGCCAAGAAAAATAAATCCTCAGTTGTCCTATTTGAAATGTCTTCATACTATTTATTTTTTATTTAAAAAAAAACCAGAGATAGCATTCCTAATATTTCCTTTATTTTCCAATGTTTATGATTACTTTTCTAAATAAGACAAAAATAATTGCAAAAAAGGCAAAGTCTTTGCAAATTAGCGATCCTGAGAAATAAATCAGGTGTCTTCAAAGAAATTAATAAAAAATGAATATAGCTTAAAATCTTGATCATTTTACATTTCTTCCCAAAATGCTCCCACAAAAAAACTGAGATTGTTTAGTAATTTTTGAAGCACATACAGCAAACTAAGGTAGTAGATTCCTCAGGTTATTGCAGAGGTCACCAACCTTTCTTGGTTGATGGACCAGAGGGAAAGGGAGGGGCATTTTTGCACCTCGCAACACAGCGGTCCCATTTTTTCACCTGAGGCGCAGTGGCATTTTTTGCACTTTTGCATCCCGCAGCACCCCGTTTTCACACCCGAGGTGCACAATGGCAGCCCATTTTTGCACTCTGCAGCACGGTAGCACCCCCTTTTTGCATCCCGCAGCATGGCATCCAGTTTTCACGTCCCGAGGCACGGTAGCATCCCATTTTTGCACCCAACGGTGTGGCAGCATCCTATTTTTGCAGCCCAAGTCACAGCAGCGTCCCATTTTTGTGTCCCGCAGCGTGGTGGTGGGATCCTTTTTGCGCCCCATGGCATGGTATCCCATTTTTGCACCCTGCAGCCCACAGGTTGGGGACCCTTGGGTTACTGAACAGACAATATCATTTCAAGACACAGTGGACATGCTTTCCTAGAAATGTAGGAGAGTTAGGCCATCAGGGAATGAGCTGAGCTTTTATAACAAGGAAAGAATTTGCTAACATGGCAGCTATCGATTGAGGGTAGAAATTGTTCCACAGATTGGAAGAAAGTTGGGAATACATAAGGATTTCATGGAATCTGAAATGGTTTTGATAAATGAGATCACATCAGGTCCTTATCATTGGCAAAAATACAAGAATAGTGATCAGTTTGTGGCACAAATAGCTACCAATATAGTGTATTGAGCAAAAGACACTAAGAAAATAGCTTTAAAGATGGATAGATCATAGTCACCATAAGTTTAAACTTTTTCAATGAATACAAACCTATACAGGAAAAAGCAAAGTCAAACAACCTGGAGGAACTGGTAGCTTAACTGACATTAAAATGTTTTATGAAAGAAAAAGAAAAAAAAACTAAATAATGGTTTATTTCAACATAAACAAACAAATAAAAAGTGACAAATATACAAATTAAAAGAAAACAAAATCAGGTACTGGGAAATTGGTGAGTAGGAAGAGAAAAAAAAAGTAAAGGAACAGTAAAATATTGAGCCAGTCTCATAATACTTTGGACCTCAGTGAAGAAATGCAATAAGAAATACACCATCCAGATAAGGAATCTTGAGAGTAGAATTGTTAAAGTTATAGCTATCACATGACTAAGATATAGTAAGTGCAAAAATGGCATAATCCAACCTAGGCAGATACATAGATCACATAGATATAATAGTTTTGCTTTGCAGATTTTCAGAAATGAGATATCCATACACAAGGTTTTTTTTTTCCAGAAACCAGAATAATTTCAGCAAGAGATCTGATGGAGCAAAATGTTTATGTTAGGGTATATCTGTTTGATAAATATGAGCCAGTCCAATGAAATAATTATAGCAAAATGGACAAGTTCATTTTTAAGGCCTGTTACCACACAAAATTTGATATTCAGAACAAGTCCTTGGCACACAGTATATGAAGGATAGCTTTAAGTGTTACCATCTGAATGAATGGATTTAAATGTTATTGAACTAAGGCGGGGTGCAGATTTTCATGTTTTCCCCCAGAAGGCAATTTTGGAAATAAAAAATTTGAATGAGAGACTCAGCAAGAATTTATTATTTCTAGAAAAGTTTTCAGACTTCAATATGCAACATAAAACTAAAGGGGAAATTTAGTGGAGTTCTATGAATAACAATGAATGAATGAACGATTGATTGATTGAATGAACGAATGGAATGAATGAATGGTCTTTCCTTTCCAAGGAATATACTTTACAGCCAACCTCATCTAATAGTACTGATGGAGGCATGGCTCAAGATTTAATTTTGTAAAATTCATATTAACAAGTTCAACAAAAGACACACAAATCAACAAAATATGTTTGTTTAAAAAAAAATTCAAGTTCTCTCTTACAGACCAAACAACAAAACAGCAAATGGCTCAAAGATTCCACTGACCCATATTCCCCCAAATATGTATAAATTGATGAAGGGGGACATTTTGTATCACCCAAAGGGGTGTTGTCTTACCTGAACGGTTTCTCAGCACGGAGATGGAGAATCCACCAATGGGTTTAGACTGTATTCCTGCCCAATCAGATCAAGTCAGCCAAAGTTGCCACGCCCGTCCTGGACCATAGAGATCCCAATCTTGACGCGAAGATAGCCATTGACTGACAACAAGACGTTGTGGCTCACTAAACTAAGACTAGCCCTAGACCCAAATGACCTACAAGGGTGGGAGCGGATTCTCCATCTCCGTGCTGAGAAAAGGTGTTCAGGTAAGACAATGCCCCTTCTTCAGCACTGGAGATGGAGAATCCACCAATGGGACATACCAAAGCCTACTGTTCCTGAGGGTGGGAAGTAGACCGGTCCGGTGTGGCACTTTGATGTACAACCTGTTGGAGAACCCTCCTACCGAAGGAGGCCTCCACCGAGGCAAACCTATCGACCTTGTAATGCCGTATGAAAGGAGATGGTGAGGACCATGTGGCCGCTCTACAGACGTCCTCAATCGACCCTGAGTGGCCCAGGCCACGGAAGTAGCTGCACTCCATGTAGAGTGGGCTGTAACCCGTCGAGGAACTGGCAATGACTCAGCTTGGTACACCCCCGCAATGCACGCGCTAATCCACCTGCCAATTGTGGAAGAGGAAACCTTCCGACCCCTGGAGTAAGGATCGAAGGAGACAAAGAGGGCCTCTGATTTGCAGAACGCTGCTGTCTGTGAAATATAGTACCGGAGTGCTCTGCGGACTTCCAGTAGATGCCATTGCCATTCCTGATCATGCAATGGGTTAGGACAAAAATCCAGGAGCATTATTTCCTGGGCTCTGTGGAAGAGGGAATTGACCTTTGGAAGGGAAGTAGGGTCGAGGCGAAGGACCACTCAATCCTGGTGGAAAATGCACAGATCATCCCGATAGAGAGTGCTGCCAATTCGGAAATATGTCGCGTCGACGTGATCGCCACCAAGAATGCCACCTTGTAGCGAACGTCGCACATTTTTAGGGGCTCAAAAGGTGACTTGGTCAGAGCCCGAAGAACCAGTGGTAGCTCCCAAGTAGTCCAGGATATGGGGAAACGTGAGTTCCAGGAGTGACAAGTGTTGACCCGAGCACTAGGAGTGAAAGTTCTTCCACGTGGCCTCATAAATATGGTTTGTCGAAGGGCGACGGGAAGCCTGGATTACCGTAATGACCCATGGAGAGCAACGCTCCCGTGACAAGATTGAGCGCTCAAGTGCCAGACAGCTAACTGGAGCTATTGGGGGTTCCCTGGCTGAGCGAGACCCGGTCCGGAGGAATCCTCCATGGATCTCCAAGGG